GCTCAGGTTGTTGTCTCTTGCAAATATATGCATTGCATTTATGGCATGTTATGCTTGTTTTGACATCTCTTGGTGCACACAGACTGCACCTCTTCCTCTTATCACCTCTCCTTCTTGTAGCAAGTGATCTTGCTTCTTGCTCCTGGATCTCTGTTACCGATGCGGCCGAGGCCGGCGTTCGGGGAAGGTGTTGGCGGTGAGTGGCAGACGCTCCACCCACTTGTCCCAAACTTCTCTGATCGCTGCCAGTTTGTCTTGTTGACGACGGCCTGGTCTTGCATTCCGGTTGTCAAAGCGAATCACCCATGACAACATGTGGAATTTTTGGAGTGACATGGTGGCCCAAAAAATTGTCCAACCAGACTCTGCATCCCATAAACTGCTGGTGGATTCGTTTCTGGATCTGTACACACCAGCCAAAATCAAAAGACCCATGTATGCGTTGATGTCTGTCTGGGTTAGCAACTTCCAATTGTCTTTGTAAATTCGTTTCCCCTCCAAGTTGGTCATGTTTACCACAGTGGTTACAATGGACTCAGTCAGGAACAGTTCAAAGCAGGATTTGATGTCATCAGTCCGGGATACGGCATATTTTGTAGGTCCTGGGGTCATCCTGATTACATTTTCAGCTGAAAGCCTACCATGATTCTCAGGTGGGGATGAAGACCAGGATAAGCTCCCATTCTTTGACTTGAATGTGACAGCAACCTCAGCATGGCCGTCCTCTTCATCACTGGATTCCTCCTCATCAGTTATTTCTTGGTCTGGATTATATTCCGTGTCATCTTCAGTTTCTGACACTTCCTCCTCAAATCCATCCTCACTGTCATTTTCCTGGCCTCTCCCCTCCTCATCAGTGTGGTGACCATCAAATATGTAATCAAGAACCCCACTTACGGTACATCGACCTGCCATGGTGCTGCCACACAATGAACTGTGAGCAAAGCCTCAAAAAGTATTATATACCTAAGATACGGGAAAAGTTCAGTGTTATTGAAACAATCTTGCAATTTTCTGTGAGAACTGTCAACACAGGTGTTGTTCCCGTGGCAGAGAGACTCTACTGGGCAAAGGTTCCCGCCAGTGGTTGCCGGGGGACCCAGGGTGTGTGTGTGTGTGTGTGTGTGTGTGTGTGTGTGTGTGTGTGTGTGTGCGCACGCGTGTGTGCATGTGTGCTTGCTTGCGTGCGTGCGTGCGTGCGTGCGTGCGTGCGTGCGTGCGTGTCTGTGTCCATCTGACAAATGAGGATGTACCTGAGCTCAGTTTTTACACTAATTGTTGTCTCCCCCATTCATTTCTAATGACTGGTCATTTTTGACCTGGAACATTAAGAGTGTACAAAAGTTGAATAAAACTCAAAAAATTGTATGCAAATCAATACAATTTATTTTGTGTGTTCAAATCCTCTTTGTGGACAAAGTCATGGAATCTTAGGTCAATCTGAACAAATTAACTACAATTTTCAGAGATAAAACTTTTAAATCGGTCAAATTTGACTGGAACACAGCATAAGGGTTGCTCAGACACAACTCAAGAGTGATGATGATGAAGCTCTACAGAGAGCAATAAGAGGTGTCACTCACACTGTTTTAGGAGTTTATAGTGCATGTTTAAAAAGGTTCATCTTTGTTCCTGACTGCTTTTGTTTGGAGGCCTGACGATTGGTAAAGAGCACACATGTAAGAGCTTATTACCAATTTGATGAATTGGAGTTTATTCCTATGTTAAAATGATTATTAGATAGGATCATGATTTATGATCCCATGAAGACTCATTCAGATGCTACAATAAACCAAAAGCAAACATATTGAAATGGTCGCCAGCAGAAATGAAAAAGAAAAGGCTGTAAATCCTAACATTTAAATCTTTTAAAATCTGTAACTTTTTATTTTAAGTGCCCTTTCTTAGCTTTCATATGTCATATAGTTATACTCTCACACAGTGGTGGAGAGTAATGAAGTACATTTACTTCAGTACTGTGGTTCAGTATATTTTCAGTATCTGTACTTTACTTGAGTATTGTTTTTTTTGTTTTTGAGAAATTTCTGATATTCACTCCACTACACTTAAAAGACAAATATTGTCCTTTTGACTCCACTTCATTTTTCTATGAAGTACTCTGAAGCAGAGCTTTTAGTCAGTGGAATGAATTTTTTTTATTTTGAAAATGTGATAGACCATACACTGTGTTCATCACAGGAGAAAAACCAATCACAATCAACTCCTCTACTGTCAGTCATCACCTGTCAGTGTCCTACTGATGGCGACATTAGATAAAGATGAGGCAGAAGATTCTTCACCAGAGACCATGGTCTGATCTGAGGTCTGTGTTTGAAGGTTTAGAAATAAAGAAAGATTCATTTAGTTTGAAATGTTTGCTGTGTTTACCACAGCCAGACTTCATCACTGGCTAAAAAAAGAAATATGAAAACAACAGTAACTCCTTTGATTGATTCATCTGTGTTTTTATGGCTTTGTATCATATTCAGGAAGCTCAGGTCCTTTGACATCTGCAGTGAGTGCTGCACGTTTTATCAGTCAGTGGTGGCCAGCATACCCTTTTATAATGCAGTCTGCTGGGGCAGCAACATGTCTGACAGAGACTAGATAAGCTGGTAAAAAAGGTTGGGTCTGTGCTTGGCTGGGGTCTGGACTCACTCAGGACTGTTGTGGAGAGACACATAAAATGTAAGATGGAGGCCAATCTAGGACAATACCAACTATCTTCTCCACAACATTCTGGCAGGACAGAGAAGCAGCTACAGCTGCAGCAAACATCTCATCTCACTGCGCTGCAGAACAGAGAGGTTCAGGAGATCCTTTGCTCCCACTGCCATCAGGCGATACAACACCTCAGCCAAAGGAAGTGTACTAATATAATTATTATTGTTTATTTATTATTAACTGTTTTTATTATTATTATTGTTATTATTATTATTATTATTATTATTATTATTATTATTATTATTATCAACAATGAGCTAATGGACACATTAATTTCCCCTTGGGGATAAATAAAGTATCTATCTATCTATCTATCTATCTATCTATCTATCTATCTATCTATCTATCTATCTATCTATCTATCTATCTATCTATTCTACAGTCTGGTTATTCTACAGGTTCTACAGTCAGTCAGTCCGTAAGTTGTTTCAGAGTCATTAGGTTCTGTAAATGTGGAACAATACAACAATGTGTTGACATAAAAAATGTACTTTTGAATACCTCTGTATTTTTAAAATGAAGTACTCCAGTACTTTAAGTCCAGTGATGGAGCTGTGGACTCACCTCTGCTCTCATACCACTTATGGATGCTGCTATATATACAGATAATGAACAAAATATATAGTAAAACACAGCTGTAACAATATAACGTCTTTATAGGAATACATACTGTACATTTATAAACACATCTGCTTTGAACTACATTATAGTGGGTCATTAAATCTTTATATACAGTTAATAAATGCTAAATAGGTGGAGGAAAATGTGAAGTTTTCATTTTATCTGGTCTCATGTCTGGTTCCGCACAGCTCTGACTCTGAGGCTTAACCAATTACAGGGATTAGGAGAGGGAAAAGGTGTGCTCACGCGTGTGCACCTGTGACTTCTGATCACCACTTAAGATAGTGGTGATCATAAGTCACAGGTGCACACACGTTCTTACATGACAACACATTCCCCCTGTGAACAGTGCAGTGTTTATCTATACAAATTTACAAATACAGGCTGAAGCACACTGAATGTCCCACTTCTGAGTTGTGTCACTGATGATGAATGACATGAGTCAAACAAAGGTAAATGTCAGTGCATTGACTCACACCTGCTGTGTGCAGGACTGGACAGCAAGGAAGTGTCACACAGGAATATTTAGATATGAATGATCTACTTACACTGTGGTTAAGTGTGGTCTCAGAGCCAGGACCTCTCTCGTGCTCACAGTATGTACAATGTATGAGCGTTGTATTTGGTTGCATTAAAGAGGTATAGTGTTTTTTTAGCCCCATTAATAGACATGTATTAGTAACATCTTTCATTTTAATGCAAGCCAGCAGAGCACTACAACTGGAAAAAAGAGCCAGCAGCTCTGAAGACTTCTGGAGGCTCCATATGAGGCAACCTCCCAGAGACCACAAGGTTTTAGTGTTTTTCAGTTCATTTTTAATTTGATGATAAGGCCCTGAGTCACAATTTTGTTTTAAGACCTTAACTATTTTATTTCATATTGCGCTCACGTGGTGTATAATCATAAATAAAGTTGGGTTTAATGCAATTATTAAAACTGAAACACAGCAAACCTGGAGCCAGAAGTACTGCTTGGTTTCTAGGTCCCTGGGCATAGGCTATACACTGTCTGGTCTGTGGAGTGCACTGTGCTTAGGGGAACTTGGAACCAATGCAAAAATACATATGCACAGTAGGCAGGAGGTATGGGGTCCAGGGTCAATAGGAGCCAATGGGTTAATTTCCTTGGATTATTTGCATTGGTTATACAGGATCTAAAATCCTTGTTGCAATGGATGCTGCCTTCTGTGGCCCATGATCCTCTCTGTTTTTGGTTTGCACGTTGTTTGCATCTGCTGTTGATGTGTTTTTAATTGTTGTCCTGATTTATTTCTCCACCTAATGCAAAACATGTGCTGTACAGCTGAACGAGCCTTGGCCTCATAAATATTACATATATTTGTGTATCTTAAAAATTAAGTGGTCATGTGACTATTAATTAACTCAAGTCTGTTTTTTTAAATATTCAAATAACAACATTGGCTTTTCCTGACTTCCTGTCTTTTCTTCTTCGCGTCTTTGCGACTGTAGACTCAGCACCCTCACTGTATTAATGTTTTGAAGTGGTTATAAAGGCAAACAATGACATCACTTGGGGACTTTCTGTTCCAGTCTCCTGCCTCTCTCTGTGTGTGGGTGTCCCAAGAACGCGCTCGCAGGAAGTTCCTATCCTGTCGAGAGCGCGAGATATGACGTAAGTTGCTTGCCGCGCAGTGATGATGGCGTCGCGTGAACGCGCAGTAAAAGTAATGGCTGCTCTGGATCGGCGGGTGCCTAGCCTCGATGATTTCGTGGGTCAAAGCTGGACTGCCTGGGCCGAGTGGGCTGGTGTGACAGCGGCGGATGGTAAGAAAACACCTTGACGCAAACGCCGGCAGCTAGGAAGCCGTTTAACCAAAGCACCGGGGTTTATATTCGTGGAAACGGAGGACAGAGCTAACCATGTTACCCAAACAAAGACCCTGCCGGGTCCTAGTGCTGGGTGGGTAACATGTTGCTCTCTCCCAAGTCCCACTGCATATGCTCTCTTCAAGAAAAAATAAGTGATAGTTATTAAGATATAGCCATTACGGCGTGTGTTTTACGGCTATATTCATGAAACAAGCTGGCAGCGTTTAAAGGATGCGTTTCAATTTGGTGAAACCAGCCGGGCAGCGGTGGCATCAGAGCGGAAGGAGGCTAGTGTGGATGGTTGGGCGAGCAACTTCTCGCCGTGGAAAGCTAGACTAGCTTGCTAGCTAGCTAGCAAGAAAGCCAGACTAGTCGCTGACGACGAGGCGGTTAGCGTTAGCATGCTAATGCTAGCAACAGCAGGAGGATTCAGAGTAGACACCGGTGACGGAGGAGGAGTCTGATGCTGTTGCCACCATGTAAATGCTGGCCCAGCCTTTGATGTTAGCAAACGTTACTCTGTTATTTTCGCTTCATCTTCATGTGTCCCTCTGACTGCCATCGTCGGCACCTCCATTTAACCGTTAACGTTTTTGATTTCGACAGGAAATCTCACATGTGTGTGACTTCTGCCCTAAAAGTGGTCTTGCCCTTCCCAGCTTTAAGTGTGTGCGCTCACTCATTGTCTGGCATCACTCCAAGTGCTACTCTGACCATAACTATCATATAAAGTCCATGTCCACCTCTCAACACCATTAGCTGCTTACTGTTAGCAAACTATGACAGAAAGACAAGTGAAAAACATGAGCAGCACTCTGTTGAGAGGCAGTTGACCTGTAAATCAGTCCTTTATATAACAGCTGAAGAAAATGATCATTCTGCTATTTAAGGTTGTTCTTTGTCTTACTAATGAACCTGACATACAACTTTTGGAAAACATCTGACTCCCCCTTCCTTCCCATGCATGGCTTATCAAACATGTATGTAAAATGTGATGTTTCAGGGCCTGATGTGGACGACTGCAGCAAGAATGGCAAAAAGGCTGCAGAGGCTATGTCTCTCAGTAAAGAGGGTAAGTCTTCACACCATCATCTACAACACATAGTCAAGGCCATCCTTTTTCCTTATCTGATTCCCAGATCTCGGGACAGAGGGTGTCATACACCGTAAAGATTAATAACCACCTTGAGGCAAATTTGTGAACTGTGATAATAGGCTATGTATAAATAAAATTTGACTTGACATCTGTGAACGAGAAAGCATAAGGTGTGCGTGTATTACTGTGCATGTACACTGACATGTAAAGTGAGTAGTGTCTTAGCTTCTCTGTGGTCTCCAGCCTTGCCCAGAGACAGTGAGTAAATGGAGCTACTCGAGACCTACTACTAGAGACCAGGGCCAGTATTAAAGCCAGGTGGTGTTGAGCTTACGCAGCTCCTGACACCTAGCTTCTGTAACTGCAGCTGTCCTACAGACGCTCCCCCTTTGTGTGTACATGTTATGACTTGATATATCAAAACGAATACCTGCGTAGTATTTGTTTGTAAGTATGTCCACTGTCTCACACTCAAGCTGCATCTCCATCACATGGGAAAACAGCCACAACAAGGTAATGATTAAGAAAAACGAGCTGAGGTCTGTGCATTTGTTTTAATTAAAAAATTCTGCCTTTTCTCACTTAGTTTGCATCGACTTAGGGGATTTGTTTCAGTTCATGTCTCAGATTAATCTATTTACACCCGTTTATTCTGTTCAGGGGCTGAAGTCTGTCTGAGCTCAAGCTTGGTAAGAAGTCAGGTACAAACCATAATAGGCTGCCAGTCTGTCACAGGCTGATCTATATATAATGCCTATAGACATGAAATCTTTCACAGTTCGGCACAGTTCACCTAGCCTGCAGCTCTTTCACCTGTGGGAGGAAACCAAAGCACCCAAAGGATACCCACTTAAACAGCACGACAACATCTGAACTCCAAGACACACCAAGCTGTCGGTGCATAACAAAATGTATTTCTTAATGTAATCAGAATGACACTGCCAGTTAACAATTGGCATTTGCCAGTTGAAAACTGATTTCAGCTGTATTTTCTACCAATGGTGCCCAGCTCCGATGGGACTTTTTAAGTTAGAAGATGTATCATCTTTCCATAATGCAGCGTTATCCACGGATGCCTCACAAAGTGACATTGCCATGTTTCTTTTTCTGCAGGCTGATATCTGTGTATCCATTGTATTTCCTCTCCTCATCACACCTCCCCTCTCCCCCTAGACATGTCCATCTTTGGCCTCTACCCCGGCCACGATGACTTCTACCTGGTGGTGTGCAGCCATTGTGGCCAAGTGGTGAAGCCACAGGCTTTTGAAAAGCACTGTGAGCGGAGACATGGGCCCGTGGCTAAGTTGTACGCCAGACTGCGCTCTCCCACCCCTGCACCCCAGCCCCAGCAGAGGCCCCACCACGGCCTCTCTCCTTCCCATGGGACCAATTCTGCTTCTACTTCAACCTGGGAGGGTAGAGGCCAGGGGGTTGGGCAGCTACGGGTAGCCCCACCTTCGCCTTCCACCCCACCCCAGTACAGACACTCCAAGAACTCCAAGGATGGAGTACGGTAAGAATAGAGTGGGGCAACCTGGAGCGAAAGCTCTGACCAGAGCCCACAGGTCAGAGACTGAGTTCAGGGTATAACTGTCTGCTACCACCAGGTAGCGATGGGTACCGAGCCCCGGTACTGAACGGGCCCTGGGGCTACATTATTCAAGACCGCAGTATCAATAAGCTCCGACCTTAACAGTTCTGCTATCGGTACTGGAGCTGTACAGTTTTTGTTTTTTTTTCTCCGCAAGATAAACGTTATCTTGCACATTTATTTCACCAACTCCGTCAAATGTCCGTCTATGTATGATATATTTTCGCTACTATCACAGAAGATGAGAGATCTGTCTCTCTCTTTCTCTGCCTGCCTGCTGTTTGTGTGAGTGGAGGGCAGGGGGGCGGGGCTGTTGTTCCAGTGACACGCACACACACACCAGACAGTGCAGTGCACATACCAACTCAAGCTCGTAGCCTACCTTTAGATAGATAACGATGGCAGGGAGAACCAAATGGTCCAAAGTGTGGCCCTACTTTACTAGAGTTGATGCAAACACAGCCCGTTGTCACAAGTGTGACAAATGTTTTATTTACGTTTTTTTTTTTTTTTTTTTTTTTTTTTCTTCCTCAAAAATTATCGATAAGAGTACCGTTAAAGCACCGAATCGGTAATCAGTATCGGTAAGAGTTGTAGTACCGTTATAATCTTAACGATACCCATCCCTACCACCAGGATGTAGACAGTTGTTACCAGTGCATGGTAGACTACTGGTTACAACTGTCTGCTGGGTTGAGCAGAGTTAGATGAGAAGATCAATACCACTTTTTGGTGGTTTTACAGTGAGTTTATGTGCTTTACTGTTTCTTGCCTGGGAACAGTAACTTCCTGAAGTTATCTCATCACTGTGAGGTTGTTAGAGAACTGCACCATACAAGAAATAGTTAAACACACAGCCCTCTGTAAGGCCAAATCCACACTAACACATTTTAGTTTTTAAAATACATCCCTTTCTACGTTAACTCATGGCTTCCACACTGCTCTGGAGTTTCCAAGGCCCTATAACTGAGATGCTGCTGACTCTGTTATAGTATAAAAACTCTGGGGTTGTGTTATAGTCTGGAGGGAAAGAAACAAACTGTTGGAAACGTTGATGCTGACACCATACTTGCCTTCTGATTGGATCTTATCAGTCATGACTACCTGTGGTGAAAACAACATGCATAACAAATTACAAGCGTTGCTGACAATCTGCTTCCTGTTTTCACCAGCACACACATTTCCAATGTACATTAATGGTCGTGATGATTGATGACGATTATTTATGATACAGAGCTAAAACAGTTATCTGAATGGAGTTCGTTTTCATTTTAAAACGTTATTTGAAAATGAAATTGTATTTGTGTGGATGAGGCCTAAAATTGCAACTTGTTGTCTTTAATACCTGTAGACACATAAGGACCATTACAGTGTGTGTCATGAATTTTTAATTTCCAAATCACAGTATCAAAATGCTGATATCAGGCAGCCTAACTGGCATGGCAAAATTTACTGCCATGTGTCTGCATTTCAGCATGGTGTACAATTACAACTGTCAAGATGTGTTACTATGGAATAGAAGAATGAGAATGATGACAGGAAATGAGGACAACAGATGTAGAGTAAACTGTAAACGGAGTGAAAAGTGTACTAGAGAGAAAGCTTAGATCCAAACAGACCAAGTTTGGTCTGGGATGATGATCCTTGATGATGTACCTTTTCTCTCTCATTCAGACATTCTCCACTGGAGAAGTCGTCCACCTACAGCAGCCACACAGAGTCATCGGTATTCAAGCAGCCGCCGCCTTTGGAGCCTCCAATGAGCTCTCCACCTCCGTCACTCAGAGATCCCCCGTGGCCACATGGAAGCACCCCACCTGGTAGACCTTCACCCAGTGACAGGTCCCCCACCCAGAGCCAGAGGAAGGACTCCTCTCTGGCCTCTGCGGTGCCAGGCCACCGAATTCCCAGACCCTACAACAAAGTGGCCTCCAGTGAGTACAGATGGAGAGATGAGGGTAATATGGAGTAAGAGGTTGAAGGATGGATAGATAACACATACTCTGTTATGCTAATCATGCTTACCTGTTTAATAAACATGGTCATAATTTTTAGATCCACAGTTAAAGTCTTGAAGAGGAAGCTGAAATTATGTAAAACTTCATAATATTATAAGAATATGGGATAATATGTGCAGCAGTTGAAATTCTGTTAACAGAGACGGTACTTAACTGGTTTCCTCTGTTTACTGAGATGTTTACACTTCATACTGAGTCAGGTGGTTCAGTATGAGACCAAGATCCACAGCACATGACAAGGTTTTGTTTACTTTGATCACATGTGAGCCTGAGTGCCACCTAGCCAAGAGTTTTATATCCATGAGTCTGAAGAATTATACCAGAACCCTGCACATGAGGTTTTATAATATTTTGAGACAGGATTGAACAATTCTGAAAAGTTATCATGGTGACAGTCTTATTTTCTGCTGTCTCTGCAATCACCAGGTGGGATTAAGCTGTTCACGTTTAAAAGTTAATCTTCCAGGAATTGGCATGTGCACATATTTAACGAGGACAAAAGTAGAATTGGGTTCAACTGACAGGTTACTCAGGCTGCAGCAGCCTCAGTCTTCTGGATGTGTTTAGGGACAGCACTGCTGTGTAGTCGTGGCAGACCTTTGACCTTTGGCAGGTCTCAGAACCCAAAACACAATAATTGTAGTTATGAGCTTGAAACTGAAGAAAATAGACTTGAACCTAAAATGCTTTGGGTTGTGGTTGTATAAGTGAAGCGTGACTGAAATGCAGCCAGCTGTATCAGTTAAAACAAGCATCTGTCCTGTCAGTGTGTATGAAACGGATGACTAAATGTGTCTTAAATGACAGTCAACTGGTCAAAAACACCCAGACGGCAGGAATTCTTTTTTTTTTTTTTTTTTTTTTTTTTTTTTTTGTTAAACACATTTTGGTGAAATTATATGAAAATTGTTTTGGCTAGAGGCTTTATGTTTTCAGGTTGTCTATCAGTCTGACCACCCCATTCTGACAAGAATTTGGTGGTCAAAGGCAAATCTCACTCTGACCTCACAAAAAATGTTTTTGGCTATAAATTCATTTGCTTCTTATGACAGTTTAACACAAATGTCTAACAGGATAAAATGATGAAGTGATGACATTTTTATATCCCAAAGGTCAACTTTTGGTTGATGCTGACATCATTAAGTTTTTTAACACTTCTGGCCATTATTCAACTCAGGACACGAGGTTGACCATATTTCCTTTAACTCCTGTTGATGGAGGCAACAACCACGAGGAGGGAATTCTAGTTTATTATTTAACAAGATAGGTGTTTGTCAGCATCATTGACAACACTGTGTGTGGGTATAGAGATGCTGACGTGTTTTTAATTGTCTGTTGATTGTGTGATGTTGACGTTATTATTGTGTCCATAGAGAGGGAGTGTGACCTGGACAAGCACTGCGGAGTCCTCGACCCTGACAGGAAGAAAGTCTGCACTCGCCTCCTGACGTGTAATGTAAGCTCCACGCACACTGAGTCTCACCACACTAACACCCTGCTTGTTTTTTTTTTCAGATTCTCATGCTTCTCATGTCTTTATCTTGTTTTTCAGTTTGTGGTTTTTCTCTGCGGAGTTCAGTGAAGCATTGAGAGGTTAATTTCAGAATCTAGTCCTGTCATTTTTTGCTTTTGACCCAATTAGTGCACATCAGGCCAGGAAAGTAGGTTGTGAGTTTGTGGTTTCTTCATCTCTGTGACAACAGCCAACAAGTTGGGTAATAATTTTGGCATTGTGCCTTTATCAGATAATTGACAGGAAATAGCTTTGGTAGAGAAATGTTAACATGTGATGGAGGCACCGAACAACGAAGTGACACCTTTGCTTTTTTAAAACACATGCTACATGGCTAACAGTGGAATACTCCAATGACAAAGTAGACGGATAGCAGTGTCAGAATTTATTGATGACGCCAGTCCTATGATCTGGCATTTATATTTGATTCCTCCCAGGTCTCATTTTCATCACATATTATCTACCCATAAAAGTTTCTATATTTAGATATTTAATTTCAAAAGTTCAGTCTCTGTTAACCAGCCCATGTTAGCTGTTAAACAGCTAGCCTGCTCACTGCAGCTGGAGACAGCAATCCTTGTTCTGCTCTGCAGCCTCAGCCTTTTGCCTTGTTTTGAAGTGACAGGTAGCTATATGCATAACTAGTCATGTGATCACAAGTTCAACTACATCTGTGGTGAGACTCACAATTCAGATTATGGATCATGATGCTACCCAAAAAGATTGTGACAAAATCTTTTGGCAAGATCGCCCAGCCCTAACTCAAAAACACATCTTTAGTCTGTTAGTAATTGCATGGTTATATCAGGGTGTTTACAAATGTGTGACAAATGAGAAGAAATTATAAGAAAAACAATATAAATTGTGTTAAGTAAGGTGTCGTTCCACTAGAACAGCTTCACAGCTCCTTGGCTTCCCTCCCATAGTTGTCTGTACGATTTAACATCATTTTCAGACTCATCAAACATGCGTTATGTGTTTCCATTCATGAATTTTTTCACCTGCCTGTATTTACAGATAGAAATGATCACCAAAATGTCATTTCAACTAACGCTGACTTTTTTTATTACTGTTTTTAAATGTGTGATTGGCAGATACCTGTAGTATGACAGTAGAACATCCCAACACAAATATTTCCACAATTTCACTTATTCACAGAAAAATCTGAGGCTAAAGTGGCTTTTGCTCAATTTTTTTACTTTCAAAAAGGAACGTTGCATTAATGTGATGATTTCATGTGGCAAATCTGTTTCATAAGACTTTGAAATGTAAAAAATTTAAAATCAAACTCTTGGAATTTCAATATATGTCACATGACCAATGGAGAGTAACTTGATTGGCTGGATGTTGGTTCAATTTGAGACAGACAGATGGATGGATGTTGAATCTGAACTTTTAACTCGAATTTTGACATCAGAATTTTTCATTCTGAATTTGTGGAACCAACAGTGAAATGAGTTTCAAATTTCAAGAGTTGAATTCAGAGTAAAAAAAAAAATTCAGATCCATAATTTCATGCAAAAAAAAGTCAGTGCTAGAAATTCACAGGCTTTTAAATTTCAAAATCTGGTGAGACAGATTTGCTGTCAGGCAGAAGTTAAAGCACTAAGTATGTTTCTATGAGGTAGAAGTTGTTTGTTCCTTGTTATGTGTAAAGTTGTATTTCATTACATATGCTTTGTATTGTGTGGAGTTGGATTTATGACACCTTCCACATGTCATCAGTGTATTGAAACGTTGCAGTGATGACCTGATGGTTGGTTACCTTGTGCACCAGTCTGCACATAACGCAGTTTGATGCTATTGCAATGTCTTTAGATTCTTCAGACTATCTCACTAAAATGTTTAAAATCATAAGATGGGATAAGATTACAGTTGTACATTGGAAAGAATCATCTAATCATTATTTAAAGCACGAAGTAGGCAAAAGGTTGATCTCAATTTGAGATCAGAATAGATGAATAAAACTGCAGTCACAGTTCCTTGGTACTGATCACCACTGACTGATACTGAGCAGGCAAAATGACTCCTAGCACAGGAAGAGTCCTTATATGGTGGCTGGTGTCTATGAAAGAGGAAGTGTGTGTGTGTGGTGTGTGTGAGACCACATCTAGCGGCAGTAGACAGGATGACCTGATTAACAGGAAATGACAGGAGTGATGGGAGAAACACGCAGGAAGGCAGGCTGCATCTCATACCTGTAGTAGGTAAACAGATTCCTGGTAGAAGGATGTGTTCTCTCTTCCACCTGCTGCGAGGGAAGGAAAAATGAAATTTAGTCATTTTAAATTAAATTTAGAAATGATTAAATTTGTAAATAAAAAAACACTGGTGCATAATTGAACTGACAACAGCAGTACTTTTACTTGAAGCCTCTTGAATGCGCTCCTGTTTAATGAAATAATTATGCCGTAAAAGCCAAAACAATTAATTACAACAATTCAATTTGTTTTCAGACAGAAAATTAAATATTTGTTATCTGACAATAAGAAACACATGCTGGTTCCACATTCTCATTTCTCTTCTTTTTGATTTCACTGCAAATGAAATGGTTTTGGAAAATAGGGAACATGAGGACATGTTCACTGAACTGGTGAAGTGTGATGGACATACTTCATTCCTATTCTCATATAATAGAATAAATCTTCTCAGTTATTTGAAAAAAAAAATTATACGTTCATTAATGATTTAGGTTTTTTTTGATGGCACAGGATCAGTATAATACATTATGATTTATTTCTGACCCTTTGCTTGCTCTGTGAAAACATTGGGACATCTGGTAACACAGATGTGACCTGTGACTGAATAAAGCAGCCAATTGACTAAAGGAAAACATCTTACAAAAATCAAATAGAAATTGTACAAATGATTATGATGAACTCAGCACAATTTCCATTCCTTGGGAAGAGCAGTGGTCTAGTTGGAGAGATTACCGTTAAACTCAAATTAAAAAAAAACTTCATGACAAAAATATAGGACCTCGGGGCGTCGAGTGGTGCAGTGGGTTGAGCAGGCGCCCCATATGTAGATTCTACAGTCCTCGCTGCAGTCAGCCCCGGTTTGAATCCTGCATCGGACGGCCCTTTACTGCATGTCATTCCCCCTCTCTCTGCCTTCCCATTTCCTGTCTCTCTCTACTGTGCTATCATAAAGGCATAAAAAGCCCAAAAAAATATACTTTAAAAATATAGGACCTTAAAAATGAATGGATTTACTCCAATAACGTGAAAGTGTCACCACCATGAGGGGCTTGGTTTGCACTGCCAAGCTGTAACATGGAACAAAGCTCCAATATAGAACTCTAATCACAACTGGTGGGACAACTTTCCCCATCAAAGTGGAACAGGAACTTTTTTTTTTGTCTGTGTTTTGCATGTGGAGAAAGGGAGTAGGGTAATGACATTTAGTATAACCAGACAGGAACTGAACCAGGGACTCGCTGCTTAGAGCCTCTGCACCCATGTGGTTTGAGCCCTAACCGTTGAGATGAATGGTCTTTAATTTAAACAAAAACGTAGGTCTCCCACGCTTAGACTAGTTTAGAAATAACGTTTGTTGAGGATAAAAGATTAACACTTTTCAATAGCTCCCAAGATCTTTAATCTTGTTGTTGCACCTCATTGTTGGGAGCATGGCAACCGCAAGTCAGAACTCAGATACCAGCAGATTTTACTGGTGTCTGAGTTCCCTGAATTATTACACACCTATTCACCAGCATAGAGCAAAGAGATGAATAAAGAGAAGCAGATTTAGAGCAACATCAACCTCAGAGATTTAACATTCAGTCTGGACCAATAGAGTGTGTTTATGAGGCTAAATAGCAAAACATGCAAATTTAATTGTCACATTGCTAAGCTAAGGTTGCTACAACCTGCTAAACTTGGCCATGTGATGATGCAGGTCATTAGTGGGTGGCTGCTGACAGCTATCTGACGTGCGCCTCATCAAAAATGTACCAACCAAACTACATCAACAGAGACACCACGTGTTTTCTCCTACGGATGTCTGATGCCAGTCGAGTTTGTTGAGAGGGAAGACAACAGGAAGGAAGTTAAAGACTCTCAGTCTTTTCCTTTTCAATAACAGACACCTAACAAAACCATCACACTGCAAACCTTCTGCTCACCGTTCTTTATGAATGAACATAAACAGTGATCAAATTAGTCTCTTTGTTCAGTAGGGAGTCATAAGGTCATAAGTTATCTAGATGTCTCTCCAGTTCTATCTACGCTGCTCTGTTTCACAAAGTAAATGAAAGAATGAAAACATGATCATCTAACTCAAAACCTTTGCAGCAGCTATCTACAGCAGGAGTCTCATTAAGCCCTTACATTGTCTATAAATCCTCTCTGACTGCCTGTATGCTGTGGCCCGGTCCTCAGATCCACTCCATCCACCAGAGGAGGAAGGTGGTGGGCCGAAGCAAGAACTTTGACCAGCTGGTGGTAGAGCTCAAGACCAAGGTTCGGGAGAAAGGAACCCAGTCGCTGGAGGGAGGCTCCTCCAGTGGACGATCCCCCAGCCCAGAGCCCCCCAGGGAACAGGCGGGGACTCCGCACTGCAGAAGACCTCTGGCCAGCCTCCCTGCGTTCAGGTCAGTGAGTTTTACTGAAGCTTAGGCATTTACAAGTGTGCTTATCTAGTCTGCAGTTCCAATCACTTCACTTTTAAACCACATATTTACAAGGAATAACATTACATAATCACCAAATATAGCTGCTATCAGTTTCAGTTCTCCTGTTCTCACACACTAACTCATATGATCCTGAGATTTGCTTCTGTCCTGCTCCTCTTCTTTCTCTCTGCCTTGTATTGTGCAGAGGGTGAAATATCATTGTTAAAACACCAACTAGTCTACACCTGCCACACAGCAAAAGATAAATCCCACTCATAGTAGAGACGTCTGTTAACCAAAAGTTCATCAGCCCATGTCATGGCAGTGGCTGACCACAGTTTGACCCATTTAGATAAAATAGCAAACCAGGATTAGCCTGCTTTGCCTAAATTGGGTATAATATTACCAGATTGAATCTGAGTAATTGCACTGGTTTATACTTCAAGACTAATCTCATAATTACAGATGGTTCATTCCAAAACCCTGCAGCTACACAACAAAGTAAAGACAACAGAAGGACCTAGAAAATTCAGATAGAAACAGGGATTCAGTGTTGGAGCAAGTTAGTGTTGGTGGTCTGACACAGCCAGACACTGTGGACAGCTGTTCATGTTGTGAAACAGTCAGCGTCAGTATATTATTGTATATCAACATTTGAATTTGTTTTGTTTCAGTCGATCCACCGGTGTGTCAGATTGCACTGCGGAAGAGGAGAAGCAGCGGCAGGATGAGGGAAGTGTCAGAGCTCCTTCACCTCTCGTCCATGGGCGAATCTCAAGTGATGAAAGTGAGACAGAGGGACCAGAGGAGCCACTAGAGTTGTCATCTTCTTCTGCACATCCTAGACCATTAGCGGTGAGCCATTTGTTCTTGGGTTTAATGAAGAAAATAGCGCCAGGGAATTCCTACCAAAACTATTTATTCACATGTACAGACAGTAAGTTGGAAAGCTTCTTTGGACTGTGTAAAACGGCATTAAGTCTTTTCAAAAGGGGCAGAAAGTCTTGAAATCAGACTCATAAATATGGCCCGGACATCCTATGACCTTATCAAGTAGGAAAACAATTGCTTTCCCCAAACAGAAGATGCCAGTAATGAGCACTTCCCACTAAACTTGTTTTTGATACACAAGAACACACTTCACAGTCTGAGCTATGGTCAGCAGATTTTATCACTTTTCATGTCCAAAAGAAACATTTTTAAATCAGTTATTAACATCCATTAATACAAGACAAATTCAAATCATACTAGATCCACCCTGTGTTTTTAGCTGTGTTTCCACCGCAGGAACTTTCCCCAGGAACCAGGAAATTAGTTCCGGGGTAACTGATCGATGCCCAAAAAGTCCCTGGTCAGGGGGTAGTACTTTCCAAAGGTTTAGGAACTTGGGGGGTGTGGTCTGCAGTGCGGAACATTTCTGACTGGTCTAGTACTTGCTGCATTTCATTTCATCCGCCATGTTTAAAAGTCCGCAGTGAGCGAGCACCAAGCGAGCAAACACATTTTCTACACTGCAAAACAGGTCCAGGAGAAGGTAAAAAAAACTGAAACAGGACTTCCAAAAAATAAAGGACCACAACAACCGGAGTGGCTGAGGTTGTCACCCGTAACATATAATACGGGATCGTCCCGTATTTGAAAATAAAATGCTGCGTCCTGTATTGAATATTTACTATACTACTGCTTATATTTGTCCCGTATTTACATTCATGTTATGTCCTCAAAGTGCTGTGAATGATGTAATGTCAAGTAATAATTTTGCATAATCTTCCTGGGACTTTAGGCCGCAGTGGAAATGCAGACAATAATGGGCCTCAGGAACCTTTTAGTTCCTGAAGAACTTAAAGAACTTAAAGTTCCAGGTACTTTTTGGTCGAAACATGGTTTATGTGATGTTCCACATTCTCCACTGCAAACCCGAATTACGTCATCAGTCTACAGCACCTTTGTTCCAAAACACCTCTGGTTTATAAGTGTTATGTTTACACACTGAAGACACTCTTGTGATGAGATCAGAGAACTTTTCCTTGTGAGGACTGATCGTGGCAAATCATGTTAGTGCATGCAGCGCTGCTCAGTGGACTGACGCACTGCTGTTCCAGTTAACTCTTCATACCTGATTATCACTGATGGATATATCACAAATTTATCTTCCTCTTTAATATTTCTTCATTACTCCATAATTGCAGTGAAGGTGTGGACAATAGAAACAAATCAATCAACTATTTATTTATTTTTTACAGTAGTCTGTTTCCATGTATCTTCATTTTCAGTTGTGGGTTTATATTAAACTACAAAGGAGTATAGATTTTACAAACCACATGTGAGAGTTGTTTCTAGAACCACTGCTGACACAGATAAGCAAAGGAAACACTAATTTGTAACAGATTTACAAGAACATCTTCTTTCTTTAGGTGTGCTCATTCGGCAGCCATACGCTGGGTCACGGCATCTACACGTTTGACAGGAGACTTCACCACCTGCGGTCGGCGCTCAGCAGTATGCTGGAACAGCACATCAGTGCCCATCTTTGGAAGTAAGAAACCTGAGCTCACATACCTGCATTTTTGGCTTGACTGTGCTTTTGTAGTACTAATCCTTCAGATTATTTTTGTAAGGACACATACAACTTGGTTTCACTTGAGGGTTATTACTGATGCCTTAACTGGGTATTTTTTCCTGCCTTCCTCTGCTAAATATGAATTAGGGCTCAACAATTAATCAAATCTTATTGAAATCACAATATGGACAAATGCAATATCCAAATCGCAGAAGCTGCAATTTCTTTGTTGTGTCACAACAGACCATGAAGGAAGCATTGCAATGCTACAGAGACACCCCAGCCTATAAATCATATTCTCCAGACATAAAGGAACATGATTGTTTAGTACAGACCTCAGTAAAAATCACATCATCATCATCATTTTCATATTTTTTCAGTGAAAAGTTAATTAATTAATGACCACTCCTACTGAAATCGTATTTCATATCATAATATCTGCCAAAATAATCACAATATGATTTTTTTGTGTCTTGTTCAGCTCTATTTTTGTGACAGCCTGACTTTAGGTAGAATTGTCAACTTTGTGTCAACTACAGCTGTTCCATTTAATGATACAGTTTTGTGCATCTGTTGGTGTTGTCCTCTGTTGTTTTGATATCTGGGTAGAGGTTTAAACCTAGCTCTTGACACTGGGGTATCTTAGTGTGCATAGAGAAAGAGGTACAGGAGATGATAGGACTGCTACCTCGTTGTGGAAGGTGATAATACTGTTGATTTGGACAACTGACCTTATAGTTTGAGATTTTAGAAAAAGATTTCTTGTAAAGGAGCTTTTAAGTTCTGTATGTAAAGTAAGATGTTGTCTGCATATTGACTGATTCTGCTTTGACCCCTTTACTCTCTAAATCCTAATTTTTGTAAGCTCCAAAAAGGAAAGTACCACCTTACAGCAACCTGGTGGATTATGTTAAGTAATACTTGTTATTGGATGCAAGCAGACCTTTTAATCCTGTTTGATCTATATGTACTATTGATAGGGTAACTTGCCATTCTAGTTGATGGTGCTTTACTGATAATTGTTAATGTCTGTACTGGCTAAAGATAAATGGCGGTAGCTGGGAGGAAGGGCGGTGTCATTATGGCGTTTCAGTATCACTATAGTATTTGCTGTGTTTGTATGAGGTGGAGTTCTGCTGATCCCTCAGTGTCATTCAGAAAAACTGGTCATGGTGCTTTATAAGAGGGTATTTGGGCTCTGTGGACTTTGTCAAGTATAAATGGTTTATCTAGTGATTGAACTTGGTCTATTGCTATAGTTGCTATCATTAAGATCTGGTTCACTGTGTTATGGGTGTGTAGTTTATAGTAGAGACTTTGAAAGGTGTTATCTCTTGGTGAGGTGAGGGTCTCCCGCTAAGTTTGTAATAGCTGCTATAATAACGCAAGACATTTACCCAATTAATTACTATATTCAGAGTTATTGTTTTATAATTGCTGAAGTAAAATATATATATTTATATGTTAATTGAATCTAATGTATATTTCCCCATTTGTTGAGGTTTTTCTCTGTGTGAGCTTTTGCACATCAATTTTTAAAATGTTTGATTTTCAGTTTGAGGTTATTTTCATGAGGTTTATTTTTCTCCAAAGCTCTGCTTTTGTGGTTTCCCACAGTAATATTAGTGAGGTGTTCAGAGAGTCTGAAGGATGCCAATGAAATCCTGAAGAAGCGAAAAATTAAGATCGGGGCATGATCGCTTATTACGATGGAATGAATGAATGTATCTGTTATATCCTGTTATATCACTCTGGGACACATCATCAGTGTTGTGAACCCGGGGTCATCAGGCGTTTCGGGTCTTACAACATACGCCCTCGCCCAGGCGACCCAGCCGGGGCTGATCAGACCCCGACTTGCGTCCCAGCAGCTACCCACGGATCAGCCCTTTTCAACCAAAGCCACCTAGTGGCTTCCTCTGCGGCTTCGCTGGCGGAATTTATAGCCCTCTTCTTTTCTGCTCCTGTGATGCCTAGCCGAGTGAGGACCTTGCAGAATGAGTGCCCTGCGAATCCTCTGCAGCCGACCTCTATGGGCTCATAGAAAGTTTTCCAGCCTCTCCCCCTTGACTGCTCCACTAGTTCCTGGTACTTAGCACGTTTTCTCTCGTTGGCTTCATCTATGCGCTCTTCCCAGGGCACTGTTAATTCCAGCATGATCAGGTGTTTCGTAGCCTCAGAGGTGATGATTATGTCCGGACGGAGCAAGGTTGTTGCAATATTTTGTGGGAATATCAGCTGCTTTCCCAAGTCAGCCTGCAACTGCCAATCACGGGCTGTATGGAGAAGGCCTGTTGTTTGTCTTGACCGAGCCTGTGGTTTCTCCCCAGCTTTGATTAAGGTGACTGCGTTTTTTGGTGGGCGGTGATGTTTGCTGGTGTTAATGGCTGAAGCTACACTCTCTGCAACTGCCCTGAGCACCTGGTCGTGTCGCCAACGATAGCGGCCATCTGCCAGGGCCTTTGGGCAGCCGCTGAGGAGATGTTCCAGTGAGCCACTTCCAGAGCAAAGCGGGCATGAGGGTGTATCACTCTTTCCCCAGACATGGAGGTTTGCTGGGCTTGGCAGGGCATCATAAACTGCCTGCACCAGGAACCGGACGCGACCGAAATCCGCCTGCAAGATGTTAGACCAAGTGATCCTACACTGCAGGGTGCTCTCCCACCTGGTCCATGCTCCCTGCTGCCGGAGCCCTACTGCCTTGCTTACGCGCTCTTCTTCCACCCCTGCTCGGACCTCTTCCTGGAGAAGATGGTGTCTCTCCTTTCCCTAGGCATTGCTGAACCGGGTCCTTTGGAAGTAGCCCAAGCCTGCTCTGCCGGTCGCAATGTTGCCCACCAGCGCCTTCTGTCTCAGGCGTGACTCCGCCACCTCCACTTCCTTCTCTGCTCTCCATTTCCTTCCTGTCCTCACCTCAATGCCGGCCGCTGACACTTTAGCATCCCTGGAGTCCCTATACTGGAGAGCTTCCCGCGTGCGAGCCACAATGAACTCCTCCTTAAGGCCACTGAATGGTAGCGGCAAGGCGTTGCTCGTTCCATACAGGGCTGCACTTGTTAGGCTGCGTGGAAAGCCCAGCCACTTCGCAGAAAGCCGCTTATTTTCCTCTCCAGGGACTCAACTGTCGTCATTGGGACTGCGTAGACCAGCAGGGGCCACAAGACTCTGGGCAGGATGGAATGCTGGTAAATCCAGGCTTTGAATCGACCAGGAAGACCTGACCTGTCAACTTTGGTGAGCCATGTGCCAAGCTCTTCCACGAACTTCTGGATGGCGGAGGTGTCTTTCAGGCTTGCATCAAAGGTCTTCCCTAAGCTCTTGACTGGCTGATCTGTGATGGATGGGATGACTGTTCCTGAGATGGCAAAACGGAATTTGTCAGTCATCCTCCCCCTCTTCAAGACCATGGACCTTGACTTGGCGGGCTTGAAGCTCATCCTTGCCCAACTGATGAGCTTTTCAAGGCCTTGTAAGATCCACCTGCAGCCTGGGACTGATGTTGTAGTGATGGTGAGGTCATCCATGAAGGCTCTTATCGGTGGCTGTCATACTCCTGACTTGCTCAAGGGCCCTCTACATTCCACCTCAGCTGAATTGACTACCATGTTCATGGCAAGGGCGAAAAGGATAACAGAGATGGTGCAGCCTGTTATTATTCCTTTGCCAAGCCGGTGCCAGTCAGATGTTTCTGACCCAGAAGTGACCCTCAGCCTGAAATCGTTATAATAGTTCAGGATCAGATCCTTGATCTTTCTGGGAACGTGGTGGCGGTGCAGTGCTAGCTCGACCAGCTTGTGTGGTATTGAGCCATAAGCATTGGCCAAGTCCAACCACACTACAGCCAGGTCACCTCTGTTCTCGTGAACTTCTCTTATTAGCTGCATAACTGCGCCTGTGTGCTCCAGGCACCCTGGAACTCCAGGAATCCCACCCTTCTGAACCGAGGGGTCGATGTAACTGTTCTTGAGGAGAAACTCTGTCAGCCTCCGGGAGATGATGCTGAAAAACACCTTCCCTTCCACACTCAATAATGAAATAGTCCAGAACTGGTTGATGTTACTTGAGTTCTCCTCCTTGGGGATCCAAACTCCCTCAGCCCGCCTCCACTGGTCAGCAACTCTCCCTCTTCGCCAGATTACCTTCAAAATCTTCCTCAGGTGGCGGGGAAGCTCTGGGCAGTGCTTATAAACAAGGTAGGGTACACCACTTGGGCCTGGAGTCAATGCTGATCGGGCCGCTTTGATGACCTCCTCCACTTCCTTCAGGCTTAGTTCCTTCAGCCCAAACTCTGTTGCTGGGGGTGGGAGGTTGATCAGGGCCGTGTTGGTGCCAAGGTCTTGCTCTCTAAAAGGATCGCTCAGGGTCTCCTGGAGGAAGCAGTTCACCTTCTCTGTCGAGCTCGCCAAACGTCCACTGTGCCTGTCCCCAAGTAGTTGTTTTGTAAAGCCGAAGGGGTTGGCAATGAAGGCTACTCGCTTCCTGGCTCTCTCTCTTCCCCGCCTTCTATGCCCCTCTGCTCTGCGGAGGATCATAAGCTTCTTCCTCAGGATGCTCTGCAGTTCTGCCAATGACTGCTTCTCCTCCTCAGTTGCCTTCTTGTACCGTTTTTTAGGGTACGAAGTTCCTGGCGCAGTTGGTATATTTTTTTGGCCCTGCGGTTCCTGGAGTATGGGGTAGTTGTGGTGTTTCCCTTCTCAGTCTGGCCGAATCTCTCCGAGGCATAGCTGATGATCATGGTGGTCAGTGTCCTGAGTCGACTGTCGACCTCTCCTTTGGCTGTTTGCTGGATGATGTTAGACACGTCCTGATCGAACTGCTGCCACTCGCTCCTACTGCTGGCTGGGGGCCACTTAATCCGCTGCTGTTGAACTACTCTGCCTGGATTGGGAGGCTCTGGTCTGTGGAGGGACTGGGCTCTGTGGGTTGCCTCCTGGCCGGGCTCCTCCTGCGTCTCACCAGGTGCAGGACCTGTGCGTTGTACCTCACTTCCCTGCCCGAGACATTTCATTCTGGCCTGATGGATTCTTAGGCCATGTTGGTTCTTGCACAGCTTTCCGCAAATGCATGTTCTCATCGTCAATCCGTCTGCATGGGTCGTTAGCCTTGTGTCCGTCCGATTGGAGATCTCATTCTCCTCCCCTCTCGGGATCTCCTGGGGGTATCTATGTATAATTGTGAAGTAGTCAATGCAGTAAAGTGAGCGATGTAGCACTGAACAATACAGTGTAAATTGTAGATTTCCATTTCATGTTAGTTGTTGTCAGTAAATCTATTTCTGGGTTAAGAACTATGTTCAAATCTCCTTTGATTATGATTTTGGAATCTGGGATGTGAAACCATCTAGGGTCAAACCAGATCAAACATATGTTTCTCTGTAGATTCTCCCCCTCAGTAAAAGGATGAGGGACAGTTACCTCAGATCCTGTGTGTTGGTTACACTAGCAGATAAACTTGAGACTAACGCACTGTTTAGTCTCTAATAGATGAAGCAGATGGCGTCTTTTGCTGCCCAGAATAGCAGCGGTGAAGAGTCTGTGATGTTGGCAGTAAGACGGTGACTGAATATTGGCTGATATTGACTATGTTTACATGCACATAAGAAAAAAAGCTCAAAGGAAGATTTCGGTTCAGCCCTATCATGAGTCTTGCAATAACCTGGTTACTAAATAGATTTTTCCCCTATCTGCTTTTACATCTTTGAACCAAGACTGACATATTGTCATATCTGAATTGTACTAAGATTATCAGACATGTCTGGTAAATAGTGTAGAAGTTGCAATGCTTTTAACTCATTTTGAACTTTTTAAAACAAATAAAAGAGTAATATTGTGTACTTAACAAAAACATGACAAGAGGAAGAAGAAGCATAGATGGTATACCCATGATCTCAAACTAGCCACAGGAGAGGCAGCTACACAACCGAATCAATGAAACACTAAAGTATAATAAACCATGTTGTATTTTGAAGTTCATATTATTACTTATTTTATGTAGATAAATGAGACCAATACTGTATCAGTGTACCCCGCGTGTCCATGGTCCGTTATTGTCCGAGTGCAAAAATAGAAGCTGTGTTCAAATCATCAACTATTTTTAAACGTTTCAGTCAGTTAAACAAATGGTTCAGTCAGTTAAACCAGTGACAGTTATCTGGTCGCATGAAGCAGATGTTCTAATGCTGAACTAAATTTGAGCTAATAGAATCCTATAGAACATTTTTGGCATCAAACGGACATCTATTTTTTCTGATCAAGGTATCTGTTATCTGTCAGATATATTAATTTATGGATTTCTTTTCTCTCAATCCAGGAAAATACCTCAAGCCACAGACCTTCAAGCTCCAACTCCCTCGGCCAAGACCATCACTTCCTCGTCTCCCTCCTCTATAGCCGCCATGTCCTCCTCTTCATTACATTCTAAGGTCCGCACAGGAAGTCACATCAGCTCCTCCCTCAAAACTGCATCCTCTTGTTCCTCTTCTTCCAGTCGTGTTCCAGGGAGACCCCCGACAGCCATACAATCAGAGAACTCCGGGGGTGGTGGCAGCAGCCTGGGTGGCGGTCATCTGGTTTCTCCAGGTAAGCCTGTGGCGGTGCGTCAGGGGGGTCCCGGCCGACCCAAGAACCCGGTGGGGCGTCCAAGCAAGCAGATGCTGAAGCTGCGCGAGGAGGCTGCTGCCGCTGCCGCCCTCCGGAAACGCAAAGCCCCGTCGCAGGAAGGGGAGCACTCAGGCCCTGACAGGAACTGCATCATCCTCCAGGACCGGGGCCGCCCACCCTCTGCCGCCTCATCCTCCTCTTCCAAAGCCCCCATTCCCTCGCCTCTCCCACACGGACAGACCAATGGCACGCTTTCCCCAAGCAGCAAACCCCGCCCCCAGCCCTCCCCCTCAGAGTCACACTCGCCAGCCGCCAAGGCAGTCTGGACCTACCGACGGACAAACGCCCCTCTGGGCCATTCATCACCCCCAGACCTCTCCTCTGCCACCAACAATTCCCACAGCCGGGCTGGAGTGGGGGACTCAGGACTGCATGGGCAGGGCAGTGGGAGGGGCCTTGAGCACCAGGGACTGGTGAAGAAACGGAAGGGGGGGAGCATGGAGGAGCACTCGCCCTCCTCCAAACCCTCAGCACACCGCCTGCCCTCCTCCTCCTCTTCCAGCTCTGCCACCACCTCCTCTCCGCGCTCTAATTTCTACCCTTGGAAGGACAGTAAAGGCGGGGGGCTGGCCGGGGGCGTGGAGAAGAAACTTGGCACACAGAAGGTGAGTTTGGACGAGAGAGAAGCAGCGAACTGAGCAGCACATACGATGACAGGGAAAATGATTTGGAAGTTAAAGTTACAATATGCAGCTTTTCTCCTGGAGGCTGAGGCACCGTGCCTTTGTGCATCAGTGGTAAGATGTTCCTGGTCCAACACTCATCTTGAAGATTTGTGATCAGTCGTAGAGCTGATGTAACAGGCAGTGCGAGGTGTCATCACGCCCTGAAGAAGCAGACAGTGAACACTGCTAACCTGACTAATCTGACTGTTTTTTGGCTGGACTAGAGATGAAACGGTTACCGGTTCACGGTAAAAATGCCAGACGGTTAGTATTACCGTTTAAATTTGAATTATCACTATAACCGTGGTTGTTTACCGTGGTTAATTACTGTGGTTCATTTGACTCACGTTAGGTTCTGAACAGCAAACAACGTGGGTTTGTTAATGTGTGAGTCAAAAGTATGACACACAAATCCAGAGATTTTTCAGCCCACTAAAACCCTTTTACACCAAAGTTAGTGTTTTTTTTTTCGTTTTTTTTTTTTAAAGCGAACAAACCCGCTAAAAAGAAGATTGACTCCATTTTCACTGACATATGAGTATGCCTTTCTGTTCGGAGCGATGTCACACAGACACAGGAGAGAAAGAGTGAGCTGTAGCCACTTCGATTGGTGATTGTGTGTTTTTCAAACCAACCCTAACCCTTTAGCGTCTTTTTTTCAAAATAAACAAAAACATAGCAACAGATCTAGCAAGATTTTATACTCCTTATTACAATAAAATCAGTGTGTATAAGCATTTTTTTTTTATGTAAACCCACTAAAAGGCGATTGACTCCTTTTACACTGCCAGCGGAGTTTGCCTGAGAGGACACACAAAACTGCAGAGAGCAACGTCATCACATATACACATGTAAAGGTGGAACTGTGAGCTGTTAGCTGCAATGCAGACTAGTAAAACAGATCTGTCACGTCTCATCCCTGGGTTGGTGCTCCTGTAAGTGTTCCTCATTTGAGACGCTTTGATTGGTCATTGAGTGTTAAACTTATTTTGGGGCTGTGTTTACTCTGAGAGGAAGGTGTAACAGTGGTGTTTCTGGTTTAACAGCACCATGCTGGACAGGTGTATTTACAGTGTGTGTGCTCTTAAAGACATCACAGGTCAGAAAAGAGGCGAAAATTAGTGTTCACCTGGGTTTACATCACTGCTGATTGTAGCTGATAAACCAGCTGACACTGGACTGAAAGCAGCTGACATTAGAATGAGACCAGCTGTTAACGAGATTGAGACCAGCTGATATGAGACTGAAAGCAACCGACACTGAACTGAAACCAGCTGATACTAGACTGAGACCAGCTGACACTAAACTGAAACCAGCTGACACTAGACTGAAACCAGCTGACACTAGACTGAAACCAGCTGACACTAGACTGAATGTAAACACGATGCGGTCTAGCCATACTATGTTCTGACCTAGTCTTGTTTTCTTACCATCACTTCAAGTGACATAATAAGGTGGCTGAAGACACAGATTTTCTGTGGACTGTTATATTTATGTGATAAAGACACCTATATTATCTGTAATCTACATCATGTTTACAAAGTGTCTGAATCATATAAACAGTATGTCAGTCACTATTGAGAAAGTGTTGTAAAACATCAAAAACTAATTTAAATTTGGGTCTAAGAAGTTGCTCTATCCCCAAGCTATCTCAGCTAAGAGCTCCGTATCTATGGCAACAACCTGCAAAATCTGACAGACATGATAGCTAGAGATGATGTAAAAAGATTGTTGGAGTGAACAGAGTTTAGCAGCTTGAAGTTGAAGATAATCAGCTACGTATTTTAAATAAACTACCCAGAATATAGAATGACAGTCATATTTAAAGGTACACTCGTGTTTTTGTACCGTTCCCAGCAATGCCCCCAAATCCCAAAAACTGGACTCTACTGAGTTTAGAAATAAGATCAACATTAAGGAAGTGTCTTTTCTAGCCATTTGATTCTTCTTTAATGTTGTCTTCTGATTCTGGCTTTTTCGAATGTCCATTTTTTTCTGTTTGTTTGCACAGTTTTGAAGTGAATATACAAATCAGTCAACAAAATCACAGTACTAATTTCAAATGTTTCTTTTGTCCCACAGCCAAAACTGCACCATTAAGTGTGCCTGCCTTACAAGCCACTATGAGGGAGCCAGCTCTGCAGCCTCTGAGGCAACAGGACTCAAGTGTGTGTGTGTGTGTGTGTGTGTGTGTGTGTGTGTGTGTGTGTGTGTGTGTGTGTGTGTGTGTGTGTGTGTGAGAGAGCGATAGCGCGCCTGTCTTTTGTCTATTGAGCATATGCTGAAGTGTGAGTGTGTCAGGTTGTTTGTATGTGCAGATTTAGTGCAGTATGGATCTGTTGGTGTGAATCGCTGCTGGGTGTGTGGGTCTGTGTGTTTGCTGTTGTCTGGATGAATGTCTGAGGGAGAACTTGGAGTAGGAGGGTGGGATGAAATTCAGAGTATGGATTTAGAAATACCTCAAGACCATCCGGTTATGCTGCTAAATTAAATATGTTGGTTTATAAAAGTGGATTAAAAATGTCCTTTACACTTGGTTTCTGTGACTTATTCAAAAGTGGGTGTGTGTTTGTGTGTGTGTGTGTGTGTGTGTGTGGGTGTGTGTGTGTGTGTGTGTGTGTGTGTGTGTGTGAGAGTGAGTGAAAGGAGCTATTAAGTTTTGCAATTGCTACATAGCCAATGTTACCTTCAACAGCTGTTAACTTACCAGTAGGGCTGTCACCGTATCAGATTTGCATTACACAGCTGTTGTGGCCAAAAGAATTCACAACAACGACATTATTATGGTATCTATACAACATTTTAAGAAAAAAAGGATATTAATGCTATCAGTCAAATTAATCTTTAAGATTGTTTATTGTGTGTAGACAGGTGGAGAGAGTCTGTGACCATAACTGTACAAAAGTGTAATAAAATAATATCACACTGCTAAAGTAAAGGTCCACAAGGCCTAACATCTACCATAATGATATTATCATGAGTATTATTAACAACATATCAATATTTAATTTTTTAAATGTCTATCGCCAATAGCAATATATCGCGACACCCCTACTTACCAGCCAACGCCTCAGTCATTGTTACATGTTGAATACAAGAGCTTATAATACATCCTTCTTCAAGGCAGACTGGACGCTACAGTGAGTCAGTATCAGAAAGTGACAAGATGGTCTGACCGGCCCCGGGCTAAGTGCTTAGCATGCTAACTTCAGTAAAAGAAGAGAAGTGATAGAAATGGAAGCAAAACAAGAGATAACATTGGGGTTGTTTTCCACCACTGCAGACAGCTCTTGGTGAGGAAAGGAATGAAGCTTTTCTTCTGGACTGGTACATATTACGTAAACAACTGTTAATGCTAATGTTGTCTATATAGCAATATGAAAAACCTGCATAAAGCCCCTTTAAGGTTCCTACTTCTTTCATTGAAGCTATTTGATGCTCACAGGAAGTGAAATGTCTTGATCATCATTTTATTTAAAATTTCCCAGAAGTCAGACTTTGAGTTTGAAAGGTAGCCACACATGAACAAACACATCCACATGAATTGAGCAAGTGATTTCTTCAGTAAATATTTAGGCTGTTAGGACTTTTACTCTGTTACTGTTTGATGTTGCAGCTCAGCTCAGTGACTTTTATTTTGTAGATTATACGTTTCTGTTAAAACTTTAATCTTTTTGTTATCATGCATTCCAAAACTAGCTGGTTAGTTTTTGACTAACACCTGGTCTCAGTGTTTACAGTATGAAGAGGGACTGGTTCCCTGATTGTAAAAGGTGACAAAAAGTGCATTGCGCATTTTTTTCTATTAGGCAACCGAGATGGGCTCTCTGAACCATATATATTACAGAAATGATAATAGCTTAATAATTTAACGGAAAAACAAAGATGGCGGTAGGTAAAGAGATGAACAATACAGAACTCTCCTGGTCATCCATAAAAACATTTGAAATAAAAGAAGAAATTGTATTGAAGGAGGTAGTAAATTTGACATGAACAATTTTAAGTCTTTATAGCCACACAAGTTGAAGTACAGTATATTATTTGTATATGCATTGGTGCCCACATAAGTTTGTCTCTATGAAATTGGGAGTTATCCGTGTAAAATGTACAACGTGTTTCTCAGAAAGAACTAAGCACCAGTATCTCGCGACTGTAAGGTAAGTGCAATGTTTGAGTAATTTTTGTTGATCCTGGCGGATATGATGCCCAGAGCTGTCCTCTGCTGCTGAGCTGTAGTAAACGCAGGAAGTAGAGGTGAACCATCTCACTCCTTTCATATTCTTCGGTGATGACAAAGAACCAAACCAGGAAGTGGAGCCAAAAGACGAAACGTTAGCAGAGACACTTTACACGCTGTTTTCTTTATAGCACTTGTATTGTTTGGATGACGCAGACCAGACGTCTGGCTCTTTGGTGTTGGGGCTACATGACAGTCTTTCAAATAATCGTCCAGCTGACAGTAAGAGAGCCCGAGTCAAGTCTGTGTTGTCGTGTATGAGACTTTTCCTCTCTTGACGGTGACGTTTCTGCTTCTGGTTCATTGGCCAACCCAGTTTTTTAATCCATAGCTGGACTGGGTTGAGCTCGGAGGGATTACGTCCCTAATTTGTAACGTCAAACCCGCTAAAACTAGACTAGAGCTGTAGGGGAATCAGTTTTAAAACCAACACTTTAACGCTCCGGACCAGATTTTTCTCGTAGAAACAAACTGTGAGGGTTTGACTGTCACAGATCTGATCCCTGTCCTTCACTGTCTTTTCAGTTTAGGGTTAAACCCTCTTCACATTTTATCACATATAATTTACGCCATTAAAACGCTTTACCGGGACTTCTGATTTGAAAAACTAAACACCGGAAGTACTGTGAGTTGTCATTGTGTACAGCCTGGCTCAGTTCGTGGCCGGCTCTCTGTCTGCTCTCCTCTCTTGACTTGTGAACCGTATCAGTCGCAGCTGACCTCCGGTCGATCCTGTGCGTCGGGTTTTCCCGCTTCATAGCTACATAATTATGCAGCTCGTGCGGTGTCTCGGCAGCACGCACGCCGCGTTTCTCCGTCTCCGCTCGCCTTTCACATACTGCGGAGCCAGCAGGTAGCCGGACAGGTGGGTCACCAGTATGCGGTCTGACGTGGAGTACAGCCCGGTGGGAGAGGGGCTGGGGATGCGGGACTTCTGGCTGTACGTGTGGCTGCGCAGGGCGTCGGTGATAGCGGCTCATGTCACCGGCTTGGGCCTGACCCTCATCATCTCCCTCCTGTCCAGACCCGGAACCAGTGAGTGAATCTATGGATCTGGACCTGTGATTTTACCATCAAATCAAAACGACTGTCAGTACACCTGACATAGTTTTATCAGTTAATGCTTTATATTTGCCTTTATAGTCATTAATCTGTTTTATGGGTTATTAATCTATATCTAATCTAATAAATGAAATGTAATACGTTTTGTAATTAATGGCAAAGACCATGAGCCTCTTCATACAGCCTTAAACAAACTAAAATTAATGTATTCGCTTCCTTTAATAAAAAAAACATCTAAACATATCTTAGAGATTCATGGGATCAATATTTGTGACATTGAACGCTTCACAGGCTATTTATTCAAGGTGTAACCTACTGCCCCTTTAAACATATTGTTTTCATTATCATTTAACCTTGGATGGGTCAACTGTCATCTAGTTCATTTCTATCTGCCAGTAAAGATGATCAGAGCATAAAGTCTTGTCTGATACAGAGTGAAATCTGATCCCACTGTTTGCTGTTAGATTCCCAACATTAGATCATTTGATAATCACTTCAATAGAAGTTGGATAGAAACAAAAGCCTTGCTACTTATAGTTTTGGAGGACTCAACAGTTCTGTCACTAATGAACCTAGTTTTGAAGTTTTGAGTAGTTTTGGACTGTAGAATGTTTTACTTGTGTTTCTTTTTGTTCCAGGTCTGTTTTCTTGGCATCCGGTGTGTATGTCTGTTGCAGTAAGTTTACAGTCCACCCATGATTTCACCTTCTCACACACACAGACACAGTGAAGTGAGTACACACTAGTACAGCATTATTTTAAAAAAAAAAAACATGTGGCAAACACATCATCCCACCTTCATCTTGTCATCAAATAATTTGCACAAATATGTAATAATTCAGATTTTTCCTAATTTTTTCATGATCTTGATAGAATAAATACTCTGTTATTACTAACGCGCATTAGCTACTGGCAGGTGTCTCAGTAATGAGGATGTGTATAAAGCTGATTAGATTTAGATTAAACAGTGATCATGTGACACCTGTTCCTTTGCTCATACATAAATGTAAACTAATAAAAGCAGTAAATGCTTCATCAGTTGAGTGTGAACTCACCTGTGAGCTCTGAACATACCTTTACTTTCACACCCTCTGCTCTTTGTGTCTCCAGCTTCTTTCCACTGTGAATAATAGATGGGAGGGGTTGGGAGGAGGCAGCGCTAACAACTGTGTTGCATCACTGTATCAGATATTGTGTTACACACTGACCTGGAGTGTGTATATAAGAACATATAACCAAGTGCATTCTGGAAACATCAGGCTGTGATTCACACACAGTTCTTAGTTTGATACATTCATCGTTGGTTTTGGTCTGTTTTTGTTGAGAAAAATATAGAACTTCACATCACTTGACAATTAAAGGATGACTCTTTTCTTTATTTCTTTATTACATTGTGTATTATTTTATATGCAGTATTATGATTGCTGAGCTCTCAGGATGCAGCAGTGTCACTTTATGATGCGACAAAACATGTGAACAGTTCAGACAGACAGTGAACAAACCCTCAGTTAGACAAAGACGACATACAACAGTGGTTGAATTATTACTCAGACTGTTTGAACCTTCTCTGATCACAGGCTTCCTGTACGACGAGGGATTATTACTGACAGTTTGACCTCTAAATGAAGCAGTGTAGACCATTGGAATAAACAGTTTGTTTACAACATGTCTCACTGCTTGTGTTTCTTGTACTGTCAGACTTTGTAGCAGCAATGTCTCTGTTAATTATTTTAATTAATACAACGTTTTCATAACCAATAGAAATGATGAAATCTACAACATCCCTATCCATCAGTATTTAATAATATACAGCATAACATGCTGTGGTATATGCACAGAAGATATTATTGTCCTACATGGGAACAATTTGTTTTGACTTCCTTTACACACACTCTTCTTCTCTTTATTAAAGCCTGTGTCTCTTGTCTCTCCTGCAGTATTGTCTGTGTATGACAGAGGGCATACTCCTCTTCTCAGCTGAGGGCTCTCCCTTCTGCTTCAAATCCCGGAAAGGTAAAGTCCGTCTCCACTGGTTCTGTCAAGCTCTGGTCCTCATAGCTTCAGCCACTGGGCTGGGCTTCATGGTGGCCAGTAAAAATGTGTCAGAGCGCCCCCACCTGGTAACCTGGCACAGTCTGCTGGGCATCTGCACCCTGGCCACCACTGTACTCCAAGCTGCTTGTGGTATATGCATGATCTTCCCTAAGCTGCTGCGCCTCTCCTCCTCCCTGCCCAAACTGAAGCTGTACCATGCCACCTGCGGCCTGGTGGTCTACCTGCTGGCCACAGCCACCGTGGTGTTGGCCATGTTCTCAGACTGGTTCCAGGCCACGGTGAAAGGGATAGCCTGGTGGGCCTTCCTCCTGCTGCCCTTCTTCCCTGCTCTGGTGGTGATGAACCAGATCACTAACGCCTACCTGCCCCGCAAGAAACTCACCAGCTAGGAAGCACAGAGGATGCATCCAGCAGCCATATTGGATTTACACTGTGGTGGAAGTGAGAGGCCTCAGCTAAAGGCAAATAAACCAAAACACTAGTTAGGCCCATAGTAGAAGAACACAAACACATGGGCGTCTGTCTGAAACCACAAGTTTCTGAAGGGAAGTTTTGCTTGTCAACATGTTAGTCGGTTACTGGAGCCAGACAATCGTCATTGGGTGGAGCTGAGATTAGACAGCAAACCTCAAATACTTTGATAATTTGTTCAAACTAATGATTGATTTGTCTGCACAAATCTGTACCTTCAAATGATTTATCTGTTCACACAGATTACTCACTTTCTGCACTCATATGAATTAAGTCATTGTAGCAGCTGCAGTTTTCTGTGTCTAATGCAGAAACCAGAATCTTAACAGCAGCTGAGTGAACACATTTATTATATTTGATTAATGAATTGGGTCATTAGTATAATGAAAGGAGTGTTTTTGGTAGTTTTTGGGCAGACGTTATTAGGGCTGCACAATTAATCAAAATATCAAAATTGCAATATGGCCAAGTGTAATATCCAAATCACAGGAGCTGCATTTTTTTTTGATAAAGGTAAAATGTGGTGCTACAGAGATGTCCGATCTACAAATCATATTCTCTAGGAACATGATTGTTTGGTTCAAGACCAACAAAAATCACATCATCATTTTAAAGCATTTTCAGTGAAAATGAAAAAAAAAACATAATTTCAACTGAAATCATGGCTCATAAAGCAATATTTGACAAACTAATCGCAATATGATTTTTAGCATGTCACTGAGTCCTAGGAGTTATTAACTTGAAGGTATGGATATTGTGTTCAGACGTGTTGCCTCTGATACCTCCAGGACTCCTGAACTGCAGCTTTGAACTCTTTGGCATCTTCAAGCTCCAACTCCTGCTGGAATAAGAAACACATAGGAATTTAATGACACTATGCACAACATGTGGGCTGCTGTGCCAGATGTGAAACCCAGGACACAATAGAGGACGTTTTCCTGACAGACGCCTGGAGGCGGCGCCACAGCTGGAGCTGGCTGACACCTCTGAACCAGCAGAGGAATGTTTGCACTACATATGCAGAGACGCTGCATGTAGAGAGGTGTAGACCGGACAAAAAGTTCTGGATGATTCTATACCAGCTTGTCAATTCTATTTATTAATTCATGATATTTTTGTGTTGTGTCTGTTTTGGCTGCTTCCCAGTGCTACGTCAATCAATAACTTTTAACCTAACAGTGATTAGAATGATGACTGATATAATGTGAAAGCAGTAAAGATTGATCACCCAGCTGCAGCCTCTTTCAGCTCGTTTGGTTTTATGACATGTCAGCTGTTTGACTCTCCACTCCCCGCTCAGCACCACCCAGCAGTCAGACAGCGTTAGCAAGCAGCCGGTGAAAGAAATCCAATATTTAGCAGCTAAAGAGGCAGATGTCTTCCTCAGGAGCTGGTGAGGAGGAAACCATAGCTAAAAGAAGACTGAATGTTGGATTTATATTTGTCACTTGGACATTAACACAACTCCAGATGAATGCTAATGTTGCTCTGTGTCTGCTGGATGGGTCATTATGGAGGCAACTGTTTGTTAAGATGTAAGCGATAACAATGTTATTGGGTGATGAAGGCAGTGTGGAGTGTAAATTTCAGTTTGTGATTTTTAATAAATTTGCAGAAATTCCTAAAAACATGTTTTCACTTGTCATTATGGCCGACTGAGTGTAGACTGATGGACAAAGATGTCGTCTATCCATAGAAGTCTAGAAGAAGTCAAGTTTAGTTTTTCACAATTGCTAAAACACATTTCTTGAAACCTTCCATGCGTTTCTCAAAGCTGTAACACAAAACCCAGCTGTGAAACTATATTCACCAGTCCAGTGCAGTGTGTTTTAGTGAAAATGTGTTTGGAGTTTTGTCAAAAGGTGAATTGAGATCTGAAACTTGTGTCTAACTGGTGAAAATAATTTATGGTTTTACCAAGACTGATTGATTCAATAAATGGGCCCAGGCCACTGAGGATTTGGTTCAAAGAATGGAAATTAGTGTTTCTTTAAAACTGTAAAACAAAACCTCCAACAGAATAAAATGAAGGGGTCTGAAAATGTGATGCGACTATGTGAAAAACCAGCTCCTCTGGTTCATGAGCGTATAGTATGTTTTGTCACCATATACATGTGAATGTTTCCCTTTGCAATCCCCAAAGAGTTTGCTCATAAACCATGTATTTTATTTGATGCTGTCATTTAATGCTCTTGGACAAAGTGGACACTGTGACACATCAGTAATTCAGACTCAAGGACACACGCACACACAATGAGATCCAGTGTAGAAGAAACAGTCATACTAGTTTCTACAGTTACAGCAGCAGAGAATATACCGGAATTCAGTTCAGCCACACGTACTTTCACGTTCCAGTGTCATTCTATAGAAGTTTGATCATACTCGATATTTTTCTCATTGTTGACAATAAAACCAAAAGCAACAGTGATTATTTCCTACAAGTGTTTAATGTGAATCACAGCCTGATGTCTCTGATTCCTCTGCTCCATGGACTTTGTTCACACCTCTTCACACCTGCATTAACATCTGTCTCACCTGATCACCAATGGTCAGCTCTAAGTTCAGGTGTGAACAAACCCAAGACGCATTGAGGACGCATCTGAGATCCGATCACTCAGACCGCATTCAGAGGAGGTCTGGACCACATGAAAGTGAGATCTGATCACAAGTGGTCACTGGAGACACATTTTAAATGCAGGTGTGAACTGAGCCATTGAGCTCCACTGTTTCCAAGCACTATTAAAACACACTATTTAGTCTCAGTTACTCTGGGTCACATGTTCCTGCATCACCATGAACACACACGCTGGAGTTTATTCAGACTCACACACACACTAGGGCAACAAAAAAAATAATTTACATAAACAAACAGGACAACCATGTCTTGGTCTTCATCAGAATGAATGGAGTTTGCTCAGCTGCGGTTGAAAGCTCAACAAAATGCGAGTAAGATTGAGACTACTCATGGACCCTCACTGTGTCTGAGGGGAGCAGGCAGACAAGGTGTCAGTGTATTAGTGTTTGACTCTCATGCTCTTTGGGGACGCCCTTCATAAGGCAGCCTGGTCTCTGTACAGTAACTAATGTGAAACTCACATTTCATCACATTTATTTACAGCAAAAGACTTTGGTGGATGAAACATGAACACAACAGTCCACGGCCTGTGAACGCTGACAGTTCAGCCTGTGTTATTGTTAATGATCAGAGGAGACAATGAAACCATAAATCTCCAGGTCCCAGATCCTCCAGGGGTGAAAGGTGGTTAAGACTGAGGGCCTGCTGGTTTGTCCTCACAGATGAAGGTGACTGAGTTGTTCAGCAGGTCGTACATGTTGACCTCCACCACCTCCCCTGATGAGCCGCCCTCTCTTCCACCTGCCAGAGCCACAAAAACCTGCTGGGTAGCTGCCAGCTGAGCCTGCTCCTCAGGGGTGACTGGCTCCGCCCCCTCCCCATCTGTGGGATCCCCTGAAATCACCTGATTGGACAGAGAAGTTGTATATTAAATAATTGAATTTATTTTAAAAGGTAACAGTGCACTACTCTGTCAGCTGAAACCTTGGCCACACTTACAGTGACATCACTGTTTGGGGGTGTGGCCAGCTCCTTGAAAGTGTCAGCAGCAGTTTTCAGCTCTGTTTGATTCAGTGATGATTTCATATTTAAAAGAGTAAGATGACAGGACTCCCCCCTGGAGCTCTGATCTGTGGACATGAAACACCTTGACTACACCTGACCAGAGAGATCGCGTGATATAACACTGTAGAGTGTAAACCATTCAGCTGTGGAAAGTGAAGGGATCCAACTGTAGACAGTCGGGCAAAAAGTGACTGCAGGTCAAATGAGTAATGTAAATTCAATCATTCATGATGTCTCCTGGGTCGTGGAACTCTCTTCTTAGGATGCCTTTATTTTCACATTTATCACCATAAACTCAGTGATGTTACAGTTATGCGGTCAGATGTACCTTTAGTTTTTTCTTACTTACTTACTTTGGTCACTAAGGTCTTTTGTGCAGTGGTTTAACTGACTGTAAGTGATTCCTTGAGTGTAAGACTTAGATAAGGTAAAAACCTTAAATATTTAAGTGAACATGGAACAAAGAGTGAACAAAGAAATCTTAAGGAGAGGACTTAAGGTTTTGTTTTGTGCAACTCTTTTTATTTTAAGGAAATCTTAACTCAGACTTTAAGGAAAACCTTAACTTAAGGTGTTTTTTGCACCCAGCCCCAGATACTGTACTTAGATAAATATTGTTCAATAACAGCCTCATTCATGAAGCAACAAACAAATGATTTCCTTATCGTAAGGGAAATTATGGACCTGAATGCACCAAGTTCAGAAACAGCTCCACGAGCTCCATCTACCTAATTTGCTAATCTACCCTAATATGGTGATCTGATTAAAATGTGGGAAGAACGGATCGGAAATCTTCAGAAGTCATCATTCAGATCACATGTTGATACTGTGTGGAAATGTGCTATTACTCAGCATCTACTGTACTTTCACATTCACAGTCAGATTTCACTTTTGTTGCGCAGTTTTCTTCACCTATAGGTGATGTCAGATATTTAGGACTCTCAGATTAACATCTGTTTGACATGTGTTCTTCCAACTGAGGTGAACAGTGTTTTTCAGATCTCACAGCTGAAGGCTGAAGTGACAAGCAGCAGCAGAACCTCTTACCGTGTGGGAGGTGGAGGCCTGCTCCTCCCCAGCCTCCTGCTCCTCCTGTGTGTCCATGTGGCAGGAGAACAGGTGCTCCTGCAGCTCCAGCTGTGTGCTGCAGACCAGGGAGCAGAGGAGGCAGCTCAATGCCTCACTGCTCTGGCCAATGTGCTGGCTGCTGACGTGTTCCTGCAACTCCTCCTCTCCGCCCAACATGGCCGGGCAGCATGGACACTGCACCGCCGCCGCCGCCGCTGAGCCTGAACGACGAACACACAGGATCAGTGAAGACAGACATCTTGTAAAAACTCTCAGAAAATCTTCACTGCCTTCCTCTCTGAATACCAAAATACCAGGATAAACCCCTGAGGATGAACAAACTTTAAACATCTGCAGAAACATCATCATTTAAAATCCATGTGGTGATCAGCACTGACTGTACAACTAGAGGATCAACACTTCAAATTAAAAACAAAAATTCTACATCAGTGGTTTTTTGATGGCCCAGCCACAGGCTAGTGCTACATCCAACAATGAGTTACACTGACTGAGTGATAGAGTTACACCATTGGTCGGCCAAGTGTTGGACTTTTCCCATTGGCCGTTGCTCTTTCAAAATGATTTGGTGTGAACAATTTCTATTACATCATCAGGGGGCATCTCCAGCTGATCAACAACAGTTTTCAACTATTGTATTTCCTCAAAGAGTGGGTGGGGCCTTTATTTACCTCAAATGCAGAAACTAACAGGTGTTAATGTCTAACTCCCTCTGTTTGATATGTATAACTGGTCAGAGCAGTATTTTGGTATGATGTCTTCTTTTTGATCCACTCCCATTTACCATGTTAAAGTTACCACATTACACTGTTAATACATACTCAACACTTCCTGTGACTGTTTCAAATTAAAAGCCCTCTACTGTTTCAGTGGACAGAAACGCTTTATATCTTTACAGAGCTTTTATTGCTGTGCTGCAGTTGCTGGTGTTTTTGTTGTTTACATGCTATTCAGATCTGCTACTTTCTTTTGCAGTTAGCAGTTAGCAACTGCCTCTCTCTGTCTCTCTCTCCTGCTCTGCACTCTGTTCCTTTGCCTCTTTCAGTGATAACGGTACATGTAATAATTGTAGCTTATTTGTTGTAATGGAGGCCAGGTTGAATTGGAAGTGTGACTCTGCACCATGGAAACTCAATGGTTAGCCGCTGTATTTAGCCAGCCCCCAGTAGCCGGTGTGAGCTAATGCAGTGTGGCTGAAAGCCAGGGTTGCACAAAATAACAGGATTATATGGATGAATTTATGAAATGAAAGAGGTAGAAATGTACATTATGCTTAAGTGTCTGCACATTATATGACAGGTAGCAGGAGTTTATCCACCCTGGTTCTTTTCCTGGCCTGGATTTGATAGCCAGTCTTAATTTATCTGATTTATGAAGTCTGATGTTCAACTCAACTACAGTCAAAACCAGCACCTACAACATCAACCCTCTCAAGACAGGATAATGCAAATAGGAGTTTTAAAGAAGAATATAGAGCTAAGTGCGTGAGTATTTCTGAATCTTTTATCCGCCTCACATTTTGAGCTTGTGTTAAAGCTCCTGTCCTCACCTTGGTGCTCAGAAGCTCGGTGTTTGGCCACACTGGTGGCGCTCGGGAAGAACTTGAAACAAACATCACACTGGACCAGGGTCTTGAGCTGACGGGTGTGGCTCGCAAACACGTCAGGGTGGTTGGTCCTGTTATGGTACCACAGCCCTGACAGTTGCTATGGCAACGGAGAGAAGACATACATCACACTTTTCATCTGATATCCTGACTTTGGATGTGAACCTCTTCACCGCATCCAGACTGAACTGGATCCACATCAGAGGACTGAACTCAAACTCATCATCACCTCAGACCTGTGAAGCCGGACGAGCTTGTCCTACCTGATAGGACTTGTTGCAGAGTTCGCAGCTGAAGGGCTTGGCTCCGGTGTGTGTGCCTTTGTGTTTGTCCAAGAGGCCGGCACTGGTGAACACTTTGTTGCAGGTGGGACACTTGTGGAACTCCTTCGGGTGGAACTCCTGGATGTGCTGCCGATGCTCGTCCAGCGAGGAGAAGCTGAGGCAGCACTTCTGACAGTCATGAGGCTCTGACAGGTCTGACAGATGGCAGGAGAAAGAAAACAACATGATGTCACATCATGTTCATTATTAGAATGTTTGATTCTTTCACCACATTTGTACTTATTCTCCACATGTGTCTCTTCTTACTGTGGAAGGTATGCAGGTGGACAGTCAGTCCACTGGCCTGGCTGTAGCCTTTACCACACTCCCGACACACATATGGACGATCACCGGTGTGTGTTCGTACGTGACGCGTCAGCTCAATGGACTGGGCAAAGACGGCCTTGCAGTACTGACACACATACATCTTCCCTGAACACAACAAAGAGAGTGAGTCTGAACAAACTGGACAAGAGGAGACTGTGATGCTCAGTGCAAAGATTCAGGTTTAACAAAAATCTAAAAACTAACAGAAACATTTTCTTTTTTTGTTACCACTCAGGAGTGTGTGTGTGTGTGTGTGTGTGAGTATGTGTGTGTCTCACCCTCAGAGTGTTTCTTCTTGGTGTGGTATGCGAGTGCAGCAGCCACACTGAAGCTCATGTCACAGTGTTTGCAGTGGTAGGGCTTCTCTCCTGTGTGCAGCCGCATGTGATTCTTCAGAGACGAGTTGGCACCGAACTTTGCGCCACATTCCTCACAAGCAAACGGCTTTTCTTCAAAGTGCTCTGTCCGTTTGTGGTAAATCATTCCTGAAATACGACAAGAGGGAGCACAAACACACAAACACGACACAGTCGCCTGACTTTAACAAAAATCTGTGTCTGTACAACTTTCAGAACTGAGTTTACACAATCACCTGCACGTAAATAAAATGAATAAAGTAATACAATTCTGGAAGTGTCTCCATCTCCACACAGGATGTCTGGAGCTCATCCAGAGTGACCATCAAGTTACGGTCTCCTCTCTTCTCCCTGACGTCTCAGTTAGTCTGGGTCCAGCTCTAGAAGAGTCCTGGTTGTTCCAGACACCTTCCATCCTCCATTTACCTGATGGGTGGGCGAAGGTCCGTCCACAGAGGTCACAGGCCACCTTCTTCTTCACACGTGTGGTGTTGCGGTGAGCTTCGGCCCGGTGGCGCTGCAGGGCCCGCTGATTGGCCAGCTTCTTGGGGCACTGTGGACATTGCTGCTCACATTCCTGGGACATGGGGCAGCGCTTCACGTGGGCCAGCATCCGACACTTGTAGGCAAAATCCTTCTTACACCAGCGACAGGAGAAAGGCTTGGAGGGGGAGGAAGAGGAGGAAGGGGGAGGGGAGGAAGAGTCTGTTGAAGCTTTTATATCTTTGTCTTCATCTTCAGTCTCCTCCTTACTGTTTTCCTCCTCTTCCTCCTCTCCCTCCTCTCCCTCCTTCTCTTCACTTCTGCCGTTCTGTTGTTCTGAGTCAACTGTGAAATAGAAGAAAACCAACATATTTAACCTATGAGAAGACATCCTCTACCACAGAGTCACATCATGTACTCTCTTACCTGTGCCTTGGCCTCTGTTTGGCTCCTGTGTGCTCCTCTCCACCTCCTCCAGCAGAGAGACCAGTGATGGGAGGAAGGAGGAAGGAGCTTTCTGCTGGACACTCCGGAGCAGCGTGACGAGCGATCTCTCACTGAGCTGCCCCTCCCTCATTCTGCTCATCAGTGTCTCCAGCGCTGAGTGGGGATCTGTCTCCTCACAGCACTTACACACAACCTGACAGGGGGAGAGATGTGTCTTTATTTACCTCAACCACAGAGAGAAGCAAGCCTTAACCTGAGAAAGTTTCACATCAGTGATGGGCCTTTATCATCTCCTAGCAAGAAGTCTCACAGTTTTCTGATCTGCTCTGTTCCTCTGTGCTTATTTGTTGTCACTAATTTCATCAGTATGACAAGAGTCATATTCACCATACTGCAGAAATACTCAAATACATTGACAAATTATTTTCAGTTGCTTCCATATTTTTTTTTCGTTCAGTGTTAAGTTCTGTGTTTTCTGATGTGAAATATGGAGAACCACATGGCTATGTTCTTGGTCCTCTGCTTTTCTCTCTTTATGTTTCACCTCTTGGTCAAATTTTTCAGTTATGGAAGTAATTTCCACTGTTACACTGATGATACTCAGCTGTATCTTCCTGTAAAAAATGTTGACCATTCTCAAATGATAAAATTACGGCTGTTTGTTCTAAAACTAAGTTTCTGGTCATTGGCATGAGCCGTCACAGACACCAGTTTGAAAGTCACAGTAACTCTCCACGACTGTGTGATTTCTCAGAGTCCGAAAGCAAAAGACATCACCAAGACCGACAATTTTAACACTGGTCTTTTCTTTCATGTAGCACAGCAGATGCTGAGACCCTAATTCACACCTTTGTGTCATCTAGACTGGATTATTGAGTTTGTAAGTAAGTTTTGTTTTCTGGCCTCACATATGCTAGTAAGAGAGTTTTAATTAAATTCAGAACATTTGACCATATTACACCAGTTTAAGCTTCATGTACAATCAGGCTTTAAGATGCTTTTAATAATACACAACAATTTACAAATCCTCCTAATCTCACATGCTGTCACATTTTTTATCCACGGTTTCATCAACTTTTTTGCCAGACAAAAGATTTTACATCCACAACTATTTTTTCACACTGTTGTAATGTTGTTCCTCACAACATTTTACTGCCACTACTCTGTGTATTTCTTCTGATTTCTGTGAATTAGACCCAGTACTGACCTTTAACACATACAATACAATCTACTTACTGAATTCAGACATTGTGTCGTGGCTTAACAAACATAGCTAATGTTCACAATGGACTTGAGGTCAGATAATCCTACTTTTAAAATAAGTACTGGAGTTAATTGAATGTAGTTGATCTGAGTTAAGATGGAGAAATGTGAAGAATACAGCAGAAAGGCAGAGAGCAGCAGCTGCAGGGACATACACAAGTGGTTAACAGGTGTAAAAAAGAACAAATATTTGTTCAGAAAAACTTCCTGGAAAACCATGTTATATTTAAAGATCAAGTAGAAAAAACAGGGGCGATGTGTGCTACCTGTCTCTCCTGCTCTTCCAGGCTGCTCTGTGCTGCCTGGCTCAGCAGCTCTAGGACAGAGGACATGCTGCTGAGGAGCTCCACGAGCTGAAAGGAATGTTCCAGAAGACCAGAGGCAGACTCACTGGACACCTTGTCTCCTGTGCTGTTGTTTTCTTCCACTGCACTTTCTGAGGATTTGGCTTCTTCAGGCTCTGTGTAGACACCATATGAAAACATGGAGCCTGTTAATACAGTGTTGTTGTGATGTATATTGGAGTGTTGTTATTCGACTTTGACACGTAAGCAGCTGATACTGACCTGGGGACTCCTCAACACAGGTTCTTTTACATGGTGGTTCGTCTGCGTCGTCACCGTCTCCCTGACAGTCTTCCTCTTTCAGCTTGGCCTTTAGCTCCGTCTTGTCTGAAGCAGAGTCATCCTTGTTGGATGAGGCTGAACCTTCAGGGTTCACTGTCTGGGCTTTGTGGATCATGCTGAGGTTCGATCTCTGTGTCGAGATGACTGGGACTGGGACCTGGGGCTGCTGCTTCACAAGGCTGGTGAGGACGTTTTTAAAGCCAACGGCCACATCGAACATCTGCAGGTTGTCTGCGGCAGCGACAATGCGACTGACGTTGTGTTTGCCCATAGGAAGCTTGCCAGTGTAGACCATGTCCAGCAGACAGCCGAACTCCTGCGAGGAAACCACAGCCGTGTCGATGGAGATGGTGTCAGAGCTGTCCAGGAGAGACCTGACACAGACCAAGATGATTTTTTTTCTGTTCAAGCTCCCAGTTAACAAAAGTCACAGGTGATATCCCACTGGTTTTCAACTGAGTTGAGTGAACGACTCTATTAACTAAGAAAATATTTAGCAAATAAATTGGTAATGAAAATAATCATTAGTCACAGCCCTACATGAGGCTTGCTATAAGACCTGAGTCTTGATTTGAATTTCCCCTCAAAGAGCTGAAAAAAAGTATCAAATGACTCGTCTCAAGACTTTATACTTGGTTTGACAGGATCTATTTAAATACAGGAAACTGTATTTACCACAAAGGTGTGCGCATCGCAGGTCAAAGTTTAACAACCCCCCCGCTCTGTACATCATGGACACGGAAAAGCAGTTTTTCAGTGATAATGAGAATAATATGCTTTTTGACTAAAACACTACTACTACACCTACTATTACTACCTGATGAGATCATCATCAATACCACTTTCATTCTTGTGCAACATATTTATTTAAAGCTGTGCAGGAATGACGAACCCTCACTGGTTAAAAGGGATAAATGGAACTCTTGTTGTAGGCTAACAAGCTAAGTGTGTCTGTTCTGTTCAGTCGTCAATGTATGGACTTTCTGTCTGTGTTTACTGAGTTTAATCTTATGTTTTTTGATGAATGATTTTAAAGTTTGTACCAAAGTAAGTTATAAAAGTTAAAAGAAACATTGTAATGCATACAACAAAGTTCAACTTGTTCAAATCCACAGGAAGTACTGTGATGGGTCTGGTCATCATCTGAACCTTGAGTTAAAATTTTATTATTTTGTTTACAAGAATGATCTTTCATGCTTGACTCACCTCTAATAACTTGAGACCATGTTTTGATTAATCTTGAATGACATGAGACCTGAGTTCCGGCCCATCAGATATCTAACTTTAATAAATCATATTCACACTACCTGAAGAGCATGCTGGAGGCAGCCAGCACCAGTTTGTGTGCCCGGTGAGGGCTGTCTCCCACCAGGATGGTGCAGTCACAGAAGTGGCCCTCCTTCCTCAGGGCCCACAGCTGCTGCATTAGCTGGCTGCTGTAGTTGGGTAGCTCCATCATTTTATCTCCTGGTGCAGAATGATCTGCTCTCTTTTTATGGAAAGAACATAATGTCAAACTCAGTTCAGAAACTGACAGTTAATTCATGTACAGTATTGAAGGTAGCCACAATACTGCACATATCATCTTGTGGATGTACTAACAGGACAGCTTAGACTTAGCACAGAGCAGCTCACACTGTATTTATTAGATCGTTCAGCAGTGTGAACTGGTTTATGGTTGATGCTACCAGCATCTGTACTCTACAGCAGGTTATGGAACCAGGAAGAAAAGAAGTGCTTGAAGTTTGAACTGTATTTATGTAAGGTGGCTGTTGAGTTATGTGCCTGCAACAATCAAATCAATATTAAAATGTGTCATGTCAGATACTGCTTTGTAAGCTACTGTCAGTGGTCCACGTTTTATTAGCAGCCGACTGTTTGCTTAGGTTAATGTACAAGTTTAGGTCACTGATGTTCACTGGGTCTTCAGTCAATATAATACACTAGCTAACCAGCTCTAGCAGGATAACCACCACTAGCTTTAGCTACACATGCTAATGCAATCTAGAGAAGATAAATAATATGAAGTCGGTGAAGCTCGTTGGGAAACAAGAGCAGTTTTACTCTGAATAAACCCCCTGACAGTCATCCGACATGCAGCTTCCAGTCAGTGGGTGTCTTTACCTTGAGTTATTCAAACGATCCGTCTCTTTATTTAAACTTCTTTGCTGAACAAATCAAGTGTGCGCAATAAAGCTTAGCCGTTTTGAAAATGGCGTCAAGCGGTACGACGACTAAATGGGGACGTTTCCGGTGATGGAACAGTCCGGTACCATTCCAGTTTGCTCTTCAATCTGTCCTAACATTATGTATTAAATATTAATCTTTCCGGTGAAACTGTCCCATTATTTAATCCCGGACACATTAAGGAAATTACGCCATCTTTATCCACTTTATTCCAGCAATGACGGCTGCGTTCAACCAGCAAATAGCTATCAGTGTTAGCAACGAAGCTACGAGGAGCGCTAACTTAGCAGCTTCCTCTACCAGGGAAAATAGTTTACAGTAATACTACAGCTAATGTAAATTATGCTGTATGTTAAAAAAAGAATAATCATTTTGGTCATACTAAAGGGTAGGGATGTTACAAATAATGAGGTCTTGTGACAAAATAAAACTAAACCAAATATGAGACATAGTGTGTTTTTCATATACACAAATGATAATGAATGCTTTAACCAGCTGAGCAGAGGGCCTTGGGGCAAAAATCAGGTGTGGGCCCTACTACTGTCCCTCTGTCCAATGTGCATGTGTTCTGTCATCTTCAAGTAAACTAATGAAACATATAATTGAATGCAATGGTGCACCTCTATTGCTTAGGGGTTAAATTGTACCACTATGAGCTGTAGTGTCCTCTGGGGCCCTGCTTGCATCTCTCTCCCTAATTTTCTGTCTTCTTGCCACTATGTAATAAATCCCCCAAATATTTGGATATATGCTGTGATCACAATATACATTTGTTTCAATAAAAGTCATTAAATTTTTTCCCTGACTCAAGCTTTGCAGATTATCAACAAATGAATATTGTCACTAATATTCTCAGCGTGAGATGTCCTATAGACAATGTTATAGCAATTTCGAATTTGAAATATTTCTGAGGTAAACATCAAAATAAAAGTTGACTGTTCTGTATCTACAGTACACAACTTAGGAGTAGTAGAGGGTACTATAGGTAATCACAATTGGAAAACAACTGTTTCTCTCCCAGTTGTTAATTGAAACATCTACAGTCCTTTATGTAGACAGCTTAATATACAGAAACTACTTTCAGCAATGGAAGAGATAGTCTGTTGTCAGTGACCACTTCATGAGTATACCTCAGAACATGTTGACCTTCACATGACTGAAACAATCTTAATTCCACTGAGTTACTCTAACAGACACTGTTGTACCAATACCCCATTTCAATCAGCAATTTGCTGAATCTACAAATTACAAGTATGTTACGACAGAGTGATTTGAAAATAACTTTATTGTTCATAAGAAATAACTGTGAAAAGAACAGGACATTACACTGCTTGCATTCTGTTTCTCACTTCCAACTCATAAGGTTTGCACAGCTGAATCTTCTGCAGGAATCAGCCTGTATACATACCGTGTAGCTATGTATCTCTAAATGCCACATGGAGTATTATGGATATAGATTTGCTGTAGAGGTAATAAATGTTCTAACATTAAAGAGCAGTTATATTTGTAATACCTAACAGTTACTCGTGCATTCTTTTGACAAACCTGAAAAACTGTGCAGTGAGAACACAAGCTTCCACATAATGGAAAGAGAGAACATTTTCTTTTTCATTTTTCTTCTGCCATAATTTAAAATAGTCAAAAACAAAGCCCATTTCCATAAGTAACAGTAGAATTTAACTGAAGACAAGCCTCAGTATACAATATATCCACTTCATCCACTGCTTCCTCAACATGTTTCTATTAGTTGGGCAGAAGCACTACCACAGAGTCCTTCCGAGTGATTAAGAACTTTAAATATCAAACGCCAGCTAACCTTATGTCGAGAAAAACAGCGGCTTTGCAACATAGTCACAGTTTTATTAAAGAAAGCCTACTCAAAAAATGTAAAAAAAAAAACAAATTAAAGCACTTATTTATATATGGACACTTGACAAATTCAAGCTTTTTTTAAATTTCTATCTGTCATCGGACCAATTCAAGCATAGCTGCAGCACAGCTTTCCTTAGTGCCCGAGAAGCCCAGTGCCTGCAGAGAGAGACACATTAGTATTAGTAGTAGACTCAGTCAGAACTATAAACATCAAACTTTCTACCAAAGAACACTAACAAAACAGACAAAAACTCAATATTTAAAACTCTATTTGAACAATGAAATTATCTGAAAAAGAACAACAGTCTGGTCAAGCATTTGGTCAACTTTCACTGTTGTCTAAACTCAGCTATACGGACACAGTTCAGTCACTAACCAAAAAGTATTTATCTTCCAAAACCAAGCCTTAAAAATAAGGTTGAATCCACAACTTCACAAAAATACATTTAAGCATGAATTGGAAATAAAGTTAGGCTAAAGCTGTAGGGCTCATTAGTTTCTGGAATTCCATCTCTCTGTGTCATGGTTCCACACCTCTGATTGGCTGCCCACATCTCATGTGTTTCAGAAATTCAAATAGAATAATGAAGTGAATTTAGTCTCAGTTCCTCTCAGATTTAATGCATCAGTGTAGATAATTCCAAGGTGTTAACTTCCTACATGATGCAGAAAAAACAGTATGCTCACCTTTAAATCCCTCTTCAGGCATCCTCACTGAATGACAGAAATGACTCCATATAAGTACAGCATTATCATGATTTGTCTTTTTTAAAATCAAGGTTAATGTAACAGCTGTAGCAGAGGGGAAGATAATGCCGCTTACCCTGATAGACATCATCCATTGCAGCATAGTCTGCTATTGGCTCATCAGCCTGAAGGAAACAATGGGATGAATATTTTGGATTATAAGAAAAATGCATGTAAATCACCACATTAAAGCTACGGTGGTTAAGATCTCTATGTAAAAGTCAAGCCAGCAGGAAATCACAGTTGGATTTACCTTTAGACAGATGATGCTCTCTGGAATGACGCCCAGACTGCCCAGTGTGGCCGTGTCGTCTGTCAGACTCTTTCCATCGATGGACAGGTTCTGGTCAAAGGGAGCCACGGAGAAGGCGTGCATGATCTACAGGGTCACAGACAGGAAAGTTAGCTTTGTGTCCCTGTAACTATTACATGCAGCACTTTATCCAGTCACCCGGAGCCTGACCTGTATTTTCAGCTCTTTCAGAGTCTGATTGGCTGAAACAATGAGTGCTTTCTCTCCTCTGAGTTTCCTGTGCCGGGTGCTCCTCCTGATTCCACCTAGTTTGGTCGCGTTGGTCACAGGAGCAGCAGCTGCCGACGCTGCGCCGCCGTCACACAGCTTCAGCCGCTTCGCACCGTCTTGTGACTAAAAGAAAGAAAGAAAGTAAAATGGTTATTAGCTACTGTGGATGACAACATACAATACTGCTATTCCTCATCTTTGACAATGACTAAAAGATACCTTACTGTCAAGTTACAGATAAAATCAATAATGACTGGACATCTAGATAATTTTGTTCTACTGCCACTTTTATTAGTACTACTGCTTTTACTGTTTATTTGTATTCCTACTGTTAACTGACATCGCAATTGTTTTTGTTTTTAACCAAAGGAATCTAGAAAATGTAGTGAGAGAGAAAAAATAATGCCTGCAGTGAAAGAGCAATAAAGACAGATGGAGAAAACTGACGATCGATTTTACCTTAAAATAACATCTTCAAAATCATTGTGATGCTTCACTGACTTGTAATAGAGAGAATGATGCCTCCACAACCCAGGCAGGTTTCCTTGCGGTGTGTAACTTAGGTTGAGCAGATACGATATCCCACAAGAAGTGCTTAACGCTTCACAACACAATGTCAAGAACCACCAACTATGGGTCTTCAGCTAGCTTCGGCTAGCTTGCTTATTTTTAGTTTCTTTATCACGCCCTCAATAGATTTTGTGTTTGTCGTTTTCTGTAGATGAGCTGTTAGTGTCCAGTACCCTTCACCACTTGGACTGAGAGTCCAACTGAATTTTATGCTCCATCGTCCTGTAAACATCACATGTGACTGCAGAGGGCGCTGCTGCTGCTAAGCAGAACTTAGATAGTGTTGCTTTAAGTTGTACTTCTAAACAATAATGTAAACAAAGGAAATTAACCAGAAGAGTAAAAGAGAACACAACCAGTCATGTGATATTATCAAACCCAATCACAGACAATCATGTGGTGAAGTCTCCCTGAACAGTGGCGAGTGTCTGGGTCTGATTTTCTTTACACAGTATTTGGCAGCTTTAGCTACTTGCTGTAGTGCTCCTGTTACAGTTGCTGGTTGCAGTCAGTGGATATCGTAGGTGTGGTGCCGACTTTCAGTTTACTGTTGTAGCATGGTGAGCTGACCTGGCTGAAGTCTGGGTCTTTCTCTCCATCCACCTTTGGGTGTTCTTCTTTCTCCTCCTCTGCCTCAGAGCTGCTGGCGTTCATCTCTGGAGCCGCCTCCTTTATCATCTACACCAACAATGTGAAAACACAAAGTTACAGACTGCACCAAAGCCTGTGGACCTGATTTCAGACATTATGTGACAAAATACACTTGTCACTGTTTTGTTAATGTAACACGTCTTTTCTGTCACACCCTCTTGTCTTCGATGACTTTGCGGATGTAGATGGTTGCTTGGGTGTACTCTCTGAGGTCCCTCTGCTGCTGGAAGAGGAAGCTCTCTCTGCACTCCCAACACAGATCTGACCACAAACACACACGTCAATATTAAATCAATCAAGGCCATTAAGGAGCCAAAACAGGCCAACACCACACTGCCCAACATGTGGAGCATCAAACTGTATGAGTTTTACAAAGTGGTTAACCATTTCAGATAACTCTGCAGTCTTACCAGGCTGGGTGGTGTACTGGGTGGTGGGACCACTGGGTGTGGTCTGTTTGAAGCAGTGGATGGAGATTGGCTGGTCCACGATGAAGAGTCTGCTGATCACTTCCCATTCGTTGGGCCAGAGCAGAGCTATACTGTGCAGGACAAACGGCACAACATGAGACCACAGCAGTAATACTTCACATATGTTCATTTTATTCATGGGCACTTCAAGTTTCTCTGTGGAGTTCTGACCTCTT